ATATTAGCCCCCAAGTGATAAGGCATCCATTAGATGCTTCTCACACATCTCTAAAGACAAGGTGTTCCATAATCCATTCAGTTTCATTGATTATTACAAAAACACATTACAATGAAAAAAAAAAATAAATGAGTATACTAAAAATTTGTTCGGAAAAATCAGAAAAATCAACTTTTTGTAACTTCTAATTCCTGCAACTTCTAACTCTGAAGTACCCCTTAAATTTTAGGTAGGATAGCAAATAAATACACAGCACATCAGCAAAAAATTAGGTCCACATACTGATTCAACAGTTCAACATGCAGAAAAAGAAATATGTATCACCTGTACCCTCATTTTCATATTCACTAAATTAGAAAAGGAAATCTTTAAGAAAACTACAAAACACACACACACACATGCATGAAACACAATAACCTAAAAGCAGAAGTAAATCAACAAAAGGGAACGCAAATGTGGATGAGCAACAATCAAATCGTCAATTAAGGAAAATGACGACTGAAACGATATCTCAGCCTTTGCTTTCAATATACCTCAATGCTCTTCCTCAATGAAGAGATACACTAATAAAATGTATCCTCACTTTCTTAAACGAACAGAGGTCTCCTTCCAAAAACTTCTATAAAACCATTTAAAAACAAAAGGCAGATCAAGAAATTTTAAAGAGCATGGCAGAGCCAACGGTGTCATTATACCTGAGGAAAGGAGGAGGAGGAATTGAAGAGGGGGATGGTATCTCTCATGCATTTTAATAACTCTTTTCCTTAATTTGTTTCAATCAGAAAAGAAAACTAGGAATAAATCAAGTGATGCATGACATAAAGATTTACCTCAGCACAGCCTATGATTATATCTCACATCTCATAGTTGAAATGTTGATGCATAATAAATAAATGTCAACTATGCAATAAGCTCAAAAGACAAGACAATATCTCCAACAAACTTTACTAACCTTTGTACAAATGCCAGAAGTGACTGATGCCATATTACAGGCATTATCCTTGTATCCTCAAGAAATCTCATAAAATGAGCAACAACTGCATCAACAACACGATATGGCAGAGCATATTTCTTCTCTAAAAGAAGCTTTATAAAATAACTGCAACAATTTAACCAACAAACATTAACAGCATGTAAGATAAGGCAACAAAAGAAAAAATGTATTGCTACTCTCTAGATTACTGATCCTTATCTTATAAATCGCAAGAGAAGACATATACAAAAAGAGATCCAGATCATGGAAAAAATTAACTTTATTAACCTTAAAACATGTTAAAACTTTACTTTTACCACCACCCACCCTTTTGCTTCTAAAATTGTGTGTGTGTGTGAGAGGCACAACAAAGGAGGAACGTTAAAATATTAGAATACCTTGTTGTGCCACAATATTCCATTTCTGCAAGCTTCATTAATGCAACACTGCAATTCCATTTACAAATTAGAAGTCCTCATAATCATGTGAACTTAAACAACTGGAACGAAAAATAAAGCAGCTTTAGAGAGAAATGAAATAAATCCACCACGTTCAGATCATCAATTTCATTAAAAAAATTAAATAAAGAATCAACTAGCTTTTAAAAATTCACAAACCCACCCACCTCACTTCGTTTTGTTTCTTTTCAAGAAAAGAACCAATAAACACAATGATAAATACTAATTTTAAATGATGCTTGCTGCAAGGAATGGCATTTCATTTCCACCAAAGAATTGCAGGTTACCCACAATTTTTGCCAAAGCCAGGTACAAGATACTCACTAGCAAACTCCAATCCAGTCTGCTCCTCATATCGTGATTCGTATTTAGGCATAAGTAAATCTTACTCATTGCAATATCAAGCAACTCAAAAAGGAAACTAACTCATTGCAATATCAAGCAACTTAAAATAAAAACTATTATAATAAGTTCAGTAATAAGCTTTGGTAACCTATCAAATACAACAGACTCTTCTACAAGTAGTTCAAAATGTATAACATATCTCTTTCTTGCACCTTGGTTCAACATACCTCCAATTCTAACATAAAAATAGAACCCCCTAAATATCATATAACAAAACCCACCACTAAAATACCTTGAGTGAAGCATTGGAATGGAGACTTTTTGAAGAACACTCCCAATAATAACTGCCTCTCTGAGATTGCATGTCCCCGACTGAAAAAGAAAGAGCAGGAGAACAAGAAGACTTTTATATTAAAATAACAGAACGCAGCCTATCATGATCCTAAGAGTCAGTACTATAAAGGCCGCCTTACATACATTGCAAGTGGAGCATTTATCATAACATTGAAAAGTAAACTAATGCAAATAAAAATATTAGGAAAATGAGGCAAAAATCATGAGGCTACAGTATCAATCCAAAAGCACCTTGAGATTAAAAACAGAAAACAGTTGCAACAAAAGAGAATGCATGATGAAAACTTCAATCAGTTAGTGAAAGTACACTATAAACCAAAGATTCATTATGCTGGACAGAAAGTTGTATACCTTACACAATGGAAACAATATTCCCTTGTTGAATGCAGCAGGTTTGTATAGAGCCTTCTTCAAAGACTGATATAGAGCAAAATGAAGTCGCTTATTCTTCCGAATATCATCTCTAACACGTGGAAGCAAGACTAGCCTATAAAAACGCTCTGCCTTCTTAGCACTCAAATTGGAAGCAAATATTCTGGTGGCTTGAAACATAGCATTTGGAGACCAATTCTCAGGTTCAGTCAAGTACAAAACATCCTCCCAGAGTTGCATTGAAGGAATGTGTTTAAACGCTTTGGGCATTTTCCCTGCTGTGTATTTGTTCAGAAACTTACCAACTCTGCACATTTAGTTCACATCCACATTTTAAGGCTTCTGCACAATTTTTTATACATGCAAACGAATTCTTAAATACAAAAGGATAGGAATATTACCCTTTATACAAATCTATTAGAGAGTTATCCAACTGAGGCAAAGGTCTTGCTTCTGCAATTAAACAAATTGAACAATCAAACACCATTACTCATACGGTAAAATTCTTTCATAATATGAATAAATTAAATTAAACAAAAATAATAATTTAAAAGTTACCTGAAGCAACATTTGCATCATTCTCTTTGATCTTTTGAATTATAATGTCCGCAAGCGTCCTCTGTGGACCAGCATCCTTTGATAAGAATGCCTCCAGCAACTTCTCGTCATCCTCATCAATCTCCTCCTATAACATAAAATAAAGTAGGTGCTTAAAGTTTTACAAGAATAATTGCAATAATTAGCAAATTACAAAGCAAAAAACAATGATTTTGACAGTAAACTAATGATCCATTAGATTTTTGCTTTTGCTACATGCTTTCTACTGCTAGATTATATACTTGAAAATGGCTAAAGAGCAAAATCATATTTAATATTGTAACAAAATCCCACATGTTTTCTACATAAAAATTAAAATTTTAATTATTTCAAAGACATTATTTTCATACTTGTGGAATCAAAAGGCAACAATAACATCAAATGGAGCCTAGACAGCAAATTACTCAAGAGAATTAGTTCGGAAACTAATTTTGAAGTATTTTATTAAATCAAATTAAATGATTAAATAAAATGTACTTACGTCATAGTTGCCAAATTGACTTTGGGTCTCAGAAAATCCACCAAAATCATCAATATCATCTTCTTCTTCATGCTTATTATGCTCTTCTTCAAACGAACCAAACGCGTTCCTAACGTTCCCTCCAGAGCCTTCCTCTTCTATTTCCTTCTGTTGAAGAAGCGCTTCTTTCAAGATTTTCGAACTCATCCCAGACGAAATCATCTGCATCAAAACAAAAAAAAAAAAAAAAAACGCATTAAATGCCTTTAAAAAATAAAAACAAAAAATTTGAAAACTAAAGAAGAATTTAGAAAAATGAAAGAAGGCGGCTCAGTTTTACTTTGTCTTGCTTTTGGTGGTGTTTGGGAGCTTTGGAACGTTTCTTTGTGGAGGCGACGGAATCGTCATCTGCTATAAACGGTTGCGGATTTTGGTTACGTTCTCTTTTGTTCTTCGCCATTGAAGGCTTCGATAAAAAAAAAAAAAAAATTGATGTTCCGAAGAGAACGAGAGGAATGAGGCCGCTATGCCAATCGTTGCTACGCCACTGTCTAACTGTGTTATATTCCCTAAACCTAATTATATATCTATATATATATATGTTACAATATTACTGACATATATATATATATATTTTAACATCGGGACAATTAAACACTATCATGTAAGCTTTTTTAATTGCCATGTCAGCTTTTTAAACACGTGGACTTTGGCAAGTCATTGGACAGATGTCTCCTCTCTTCCTTCATTATCTTTTGTGAAAAGCCCCATTCCTCATCTTCTAATCACCCCAAAAAAAACCTAAATGTCTTCCTTTTTTCTTTCATCCAACTTTGTTTCCCTTTTTCATTTTTTAATTATTGCGCGAAAAACCATTCTGTAGTGTGGAATTCATACCAGAGCTCGCTTGTTTTAATTTTATTGGCTTTTTATAATTGAATTATTAAATAATTTTTAAAATTTCCGCTTTATTACCGAATATCGTTATGATTTGCAAGGATTTCATTTGTGAATTGATGTTTTTATTGTGTAAATTTATTCCCTTTCTATTGTAATAATCGATTGCTACCTATAATGCACTTTTACTCTCTCTGCTTTGTACACTTGTTTATGTTTTAGAATTACAAGATTTTTCCCTTGCATACATTAAGCAGATTTCTAAACTTAATTTACCAAATTTAATCAAAACTAATTGCTTTTAAAGTCTATCATACTTTGATTGATTGTATGAAATATTTTTGTAGGTACCACAATTCAATTTATAAATGTTATTTTGCATCCAAAAATAATGTACGTTGCTATATAATTTAAATTATTTTTAAAATTGTACTATCATTTAGAACATAAAACCCCCAAAACCTGCACCTTTTTTATATTTGTCATAAGTTTTTTTTTTTTTTTTTTAACACCGGATGGGCTATGCATTGGAATTCTTGGAGAGTTAAAATCATTAAAGATTGAAAAACCCATGACACCTGCTATTGAAAGTCATTTTTAGTGCATCCTTTATTTTATATTTTTTGTTGCTTTTTAGCATTTGCAAGATATGAACATGAACTGTCATTGAATTAGCTTTGTCTACTGAAAATCATTTAAAGATTGAAAAACCCATAAAAGCAATATCAATGATCAAAATGCTATAAGAATATGTTGTATCAGTCCTGAAATTTGGTTATGAGATTTGTTTATTTGCACAACATGTGACAAATATGACAATTTATCTGAGAGAGAAAGAGCAATAGATCAGATAGAGATAGAGGTTGCTTGGATATAATAGCCCCTATCTAGCTTTCATCTGTCTATCTATCATAGCCAATTGCCCTTACAACTAATTTAAGCCCAATCAGAAACTGTTTGCTTGCTTTATATAAAACAAATCTGTTACATTGAAAACTAGGTTGGTCTTGACAATACTGGTGCCCCTCATAGCTAATGGGTTTTGTACAGCGAATACATGTAAGAATTAGTATTAAATCAATCATCTTTTTCAAGTATTTTCTGCACTTCCTTAAGCCCGATCCTCTGTTTTATAGAGTTGGAAGAGATTACCATTGTTGTCTAATTCTAATTAATTCTGAGTACATTGACTTAGAATTGATGCATAGATTTCTTAGAATGAAATTTAATAGTACAATTTCGTGTTTCATTTTCTAAATCATTTTCATTATTGTTGTCTAATTGCCATTTTAAGTGTATTAATGTTAGAATTGATGCATAGATTTTTATGAACAAAATTTGATATCAGAACTTTATTTTCTATGTCTAAAGTGTATACGCAGAGTTCTGATTGTAAAAAAAAAAAAAAAACATTTTGTTGTTTAAACTGCATTCTTCGTTCATTGAGTTTAGAATTACATTTAAGGATGTTGAATTTGGTATTAATTTATCCATTTTATTCCACTTTTTTGACAAACAAACCGACTTTTGATCTTTGAACAAGAACATGAAGCATTGTTCAGAAAACTATTGTTTTCTTTTAGAATGCCTAATGATTGGTCAAGGATGCGGAATTAGGAATGAATTGCCTACAAAATTATGAGAGCATGGAATCAGATAGAAACTAGGAAACAAAGGAAGGCTTCAAAGTCCTCAACTCCTTCTCACTTCCTCATGGGCTCTGCCCATCTTATATACCAAAAAAAAAAAAAAGAAGGCTTCAAAACATATATCAATGGCAAATGAATTCGCTCATTTTATGATCTTTGAACAGGCTACACTTTAATTTTATTTCTTTTCATGTTTTATTCTATAGTTGTTGATTAGATATGTATCTACTTTTTCAATGTTTATGCTTCTGTTTTGCCTCTTTATTATTGATTGTTATTTTTTTTTCACTCTTTTATTTATTTTTACCTTATGCCTGAATGTAATATATGTGTGTTTCATCTGCTTTCTGATTCTTTACGGGCCACTGTTGATATGGTGCAGATCTTGCAAAGCAGTTAACTGCTTCTCTTCTCAGCATCCTTACAAGCTGTGGGACTGTCCGAATATCGTTCTCCAGTAGGGCAACTGAAAAGGTTTTAGTAAATGATGATTTCACTCATAATTTCTTACTTTTCTTCTACGATGACTAAAATTATATGTTTTTCACTCACCAATTTTGCCAATAGGCATCAAAAGTCATTGTCAAAGAACTTGCTGATAGTCCAAAAGTTTTACATTTGGGATGATCAAGGTATGTTCAGTCAATTAAAATTTAATTTACAAATAAAATATAGAACATCTTTAATGGGTTGTTGTATGACGATCTTCAAAACCAAATCCACACATGGGACATTTAGCTTGGGCAGATGCTTTTGTCATCACAGCAGATTCAGTCAGTCTGATAAGTGAAGCTTGCAGTATTGGGTATGATTATTCTTTACTAATGTTTCAAGACCTGTTACACCTGTTGAACTTTTTGGGATGTTCATTCTATTCAGTGAAATACCAAGTGATCATTCACTATTGGTTTCATGCAGGAAACCTATGTATGTTATGGTAGCTGAGCTTTGTAAATGGAAATTATCAGACTTCCATAAATCTTTCAGGGAACGAGGAGTGGTTTGGCCATTTACATATTCTGAAGATGTAAGTAAATATTCAATGGCATGTTTTGATTTCCTTTTGTTTCATCCCCTTATTGTGTGACTCAGTTTCATAAGACTGGATAATGTCATATTTACATTTGACCACCAGTCTGAAGTGAATCTAATTCCTTATCTATTTTCTGACCTTTTAACCATTGTAACTGGAGTAGATGAAGTAATGAAGGTCTTTTGGGATTAATTAAAGATTGCAGAAAGCTGAAGCCATCCTCCCCTTAGTGACACAGCAGAAGCAGCAAATCGGGTGCATGAAGCTCTTGCTGAGTGTGGGTGGAGGGTTCGGCCATGACGAAGGTGTTGATAATTGTTGTTGTAAACACACTGTTGATTTGCATCTTGTTTGAAAGTTGAAGCCTTCAAAATTTGGGTTTGTTGAATAGCATATAGGAACACCAGCAGCGTCAAATTCATTCTTTCCCCATCAGGGATTTTCACATATGATACATGTAGAGTAAAGCCTTAGCTATTTAGAGCGGCTTCTAAGGCATGGGAGGGGCAGGCATAAGGTAAATTTTGCGTCAAAAAAATATATATACTTTTTTGTAAATTAAACTGATTTACTGATTGCGTTTGATGTTACACCCCTGAAAAACAGATGGGACGAAGTGAAAACAGACCACACGTCTCTCTTGTAATAGTATTCATTTGTCTGTCTTTATCACAGGCACTGTTTATGAAATTAATGAACTGCTCGAACCCTTTTTGAGAAAGCAATTTTCATTAACTTCTGAATAATGTTTGTGGCTGGTTGGTTTCACTGCAAGTGTGGAAGCAGTTGAATTATTTACTTTTTTTTTTAATTTAAAATTATTAGAATTTGATCTTTAACGGTATTTTATGAACTGAAAATGTTTATATACTTTTAAATAGAATTAAAAATTTTAAAATTTGCCAAATTTAAAAAATAAACTGTAATTAAAAAGTTAATAATAATTCTTCCGCCGCTTAAAAAAAAAAAAAAAGAAATTAGTACTACTTCACAAATTTTATTTTTTTTTTAAATTATTTTATTTTTGTGGTAAACTTTTTAAAAACTATTATTATAGGACACCAAGAATCAAACAAAAGAGCTGAGTTTCACTTTCGCACATGCAAAGAAAGGGATCCAGTCTGAAACTTTCTAACAAAGGAACTGAGAAAACAACAAGTACTTACCTTCCACCCAATCATTTCTCGCCACGTCGCTCTCCTCAATTTAACTCCTTTTGTACAATCTCACACGTGCTCCACCACCGGTCACTGGGCCTACACGCCATGTGTTTTATTCTCGGAGACGTGACAGCCATCGTCCACGTCATCAATCTCTCCCAGCTGTGGTCTTCCCACCCTTGGTTAAAAAGCAGCCTCGCATTTTCTGTTTTTATTCTTTTTTTTCTCTGTCGAAAGTGACTTTCTCTCTCTCTCTCTAAAAGAAAGAAAGGAAAAAACAATTTCTTTTATATGTTGGCTTTATTTTCTCTCTCTAAATACTCTCCTTTGCTTTCAAGTTATCTTCTTTTTGGCTCTGCCTTTCTTCAAAAACCCTGATAGACAAATAAATATCCATCTCTTGTTTTCTTTTTTTATTTCTTCTCTTTTTGCAGATCTCTACTGGGTTTCCAAAGCCTCTCTCTCTTTCTTTAGAGGTGAGTTTTTCTTTTTTAACTCTTGCTGAGTCAAAGTTTGGATTTTTCTTAAAGATTATGTTTATTTTTCTCTTCTTTAATTTATTATTCGGTTTTGTTGCTTGGGTCTTTCTTGATCGTTGGTTGGCGATGGGTTCTTTTGGGGTTTTGGGATTTGCATGATCTTTTGTGTTTTGGATTTTATTTATTTTTTAGTTACCTGTTTTGCTTGCTTGGTTGGTTGCCAAGAAATGGTAGGAAAATAAAAATGAGAAATGTTTTCAAGTAATTTAATTTTAGAAAATGCTTTGATTTTCTTCCGGGAAGTCAAGTTATTTAATTGGGTACATTTTACCGAGCCTTTTTACTCTATCCTTTATTATATATGAGAATAGAGGGTTTTTAGGTTCCTAAAATAATCTTTAGAAATTTCCTACCTTTTCTTGGAAATCAAACAAGGTTTTTGGCATATAAAGTTTTCATTTTTTGGTTGATTTTTTTTCTTGGAAATTTGGATGGTTGTTGATTGCAGCTTGGGCTAGTGAAGGTGATTTTTTTGGGAATTTTTCTGGGTATAAAATTCAAGTACTTTGAGGGTCTTATTGTTTAAAAGTTCGACGACTGGGTCTCATGAGAATTGTCAGGGGAATGCAGAGATTGTTTCGTGAGGAGGTGAACGTGCTGGGCTGGAAGAAATCCTTCTGCCAAGGGATTGGTATTACCACGCCCAAGGCAAGAACGCGTAACAAACCTATGATTAGGGTTCTGGGTCTCTAAGTTTAGGGGTTTTGAATTAGGGTTAGGGTTTCTCATTGAAAACAATTATCCTCGGAAGCAATGACTCGCATTTTGATTCAACGAGGTTCCACTGGCAGCTCTTCTTCTAATCCAAGCCGTTCTTCTTCGGTGCCCGGGCCTTCTTCTTCTCGGGCAGAGCCACAAGTTTCCTCTCATCAAGTTCCTTCAGCTGCAAAAGATGAGGAAGTTAGTGAGGAATTGCAGGAACAAGTTGCTTCAGATGAGCTTTTAGAGTGTGCCAGAAGTAGTGAAAATAAGGCTGTGAAAAGTGACGATCCTTTGCCAGAAAACTTGCATAATGATCGGAATGAAACTTCGAGTGATTCAATTGCTCAGGCTGAGAAATTGAACACTCTTGATGCCTCGAGTGCATGGGATATGATGAACGATTTGGGTGGGTTGAGGATTTTAGAAAAAGTTGCTGCTGAAACTGTAGGTGCAAGTAGTGATCCCTTACCAATTGGCAGTGGAAGCCTCAATCCGCCTCCACCTCCTGTTCCACCACCTAAACCTTCATCAGCAAATTCAAATTCAAGAAGATTTGTCTTGGGAAGTTCAAATACTGTTCGTGCTGGATCATCTAGAAGAGCTGTTGCTTGGCCCATTGTTTCAACAAGGACATCGCCATCTGGATCACGGCCTTCTTCTCCTAGATCTCATGGTGAGAGTGAGGGTTACAATAGTGCTGATGAGCAGAACTCATGTTTTGTATCCTCCTACGATGATGCAGTAAGTTTTTTATAATCAAATCCTTTGTGTTTTGTTTAGTAATTCAGTTTTTATGATGAAAAAAATCATCTAGTATGGATATTTTCATATGATTGGTGTGCAAAAACTAATATCATCATGTGCTATTGTACCATGCCATTTTTTTGAAAAGACTACCTCTGTTGACTTTAATTGGTTATCTCCTACTTGAGATTTGTATTTAATAGTCCACTACCATCTGCAATCACAAGAATGAGTGAACTTTTCTATTTCATGGATGAGGCATTTTTCATCCATTTGTATCCAAAGATTTTTATGTTGAACTTGTAACTTATGTTGTTTTTTCTTCTGTTTGAATGAAATGTTCTGTAGGTTTAATGTTCATTTTGAAGAAGTGTGACCTGAAGTTAATGCGTAGTTTTGTGGTTTCACTTTTTACATCAGATTCACTTTTGAAACTGGTTTGTTACATCTGGTCCAGGAAAGGGAACGTCAATTTGAAATTGATATTAGACGAGCAAAAGGTTTGGAAGTCAAACGGATGCTAGAAGATGGGAATTGCCTCTTCCGTGCTGTAGCTGATCAAGTGTATGGGGACTCTGAAGCTTATGATTTGATTCGACAAATGTGCATTGACTACATGGTATGAATATCTCAGTACTTGAATATTGATTTTGAAATTTATGCACCATAAGGTATTATTGTTGTGATTATAGGTGCTAGATGGTTGCTTTATGACTAGTGTTAATTTTAAACTGAGTGAAACAGTTTGGTGAAAATTCTCTTAGAAACAGAAAAACCATGAATTATGCAGGGAAGGAGAAAATGGAACTTAGTGATTTCTATTTCTCTTTTGTTTGGTTACATCGTCCATCTATAGCTATTGAAGCCCTTTTTAAAATTGATTAGAAAGTTGGAGTTTACTAATGATGTATTTACTAGCATGGCATTGTAGCTTGGTTAATTGCATGGTAAGGAGATTTTTGGCCTCATATTTCCCAGATGTGGGAAATGAGTAGAAAATCCAAGGAAGAATATGGAGAGACAGAAGTAGTCATTCATCTAGCATGACAGAATTAAAGAAGTAAAATGAAGGCTGAATGTCCCAGTTTTACTCAAGTGATTTTTTTAAATATCAAAATGCTGAGCCATAAATTATGATGTATAATTATAGATATAGTGTCATTAGTTAGCTTAGAGTTTTGAGTGTAATTAGAGATTAGCTTATTGTTTTGAGTGTAATAAGAGAATAGAGGTTTGGCATTTTAGGAGGTGATGATAAACATTTTTATATTTGTTTGGTACTATAGGACTGTATCTGCCTTAAATCCCTTTGTCTGATGAGTAAGACCAAAGCTTAGGTTTTTAGGGATGAATGAAAGTAACTGGGTTCATCAACTTGTACTTGAGATGAGATATCTTTGGCATACATCCTCTTCTTCCAAGTTCTAGTTACTGCTTTTTGAGTCCCTGTTAAGCTTGTTAGTTGAAGCTTCTGTGGCATGTAGAAATGTTCCTCAAGCACATATAATTAGTTACCTGCCTGTTGCAGAAGTGTGTGATTGTCCACTTCAGTAACTTCATGTTGAGACATCAAATATGACTAGGAATAGGGATAATTGTACCACAAGGGATGGTCTTTATTCTTTGTTGAGTTCGCATATTGTTTGGTATTTGTTGTCTGTTATAAATTTAAGCAAGATTGAATATTCGGATGTGACTAAACATATGTATGCTTTGTTTTTGTTGTTGCTTTTTAATGGTATAGAATGATTTTGGATCTCTGTAACATTTTTAATTTGTTTAAAGTATAGATAATATACCTAGATTTCTTGGTTATCATTTTATGTGCACAATTTTCTGGGTCTTCAATCAAATTAATGTTGAGGTGCTTGAATGACATTGATTTGGAATGTTATTGTTATGGAGGCTTATCTTTAACTGTTCATCCAGGAGCGAGAGAGGGATCACTTTTCTCAGTTTATAACAGAAGGTTTTACATCTTACTGCAAGAGGAAAAGAAGAGATAAGGTATGCAGAGGCATTGTAATTGATTATACTATATTAATGTTCTTCTTAAATGAACCTTGCTTTAGCATCATTTTACTTTAGTGAGCATATCATTTGTTTTTCAATTTTGTGCGAGGGATTATAGCTCATCTTTTCTTCTGTTGATAAAGATGATCAAAATATTCTAATTTTCTTTTACTTTTTAGCCTTTTTTATTCCATAGCCAAGATTACAAGAACTTTATTTAATCAATTAAAAAATATTAATTGTCACTTAACCGACTAGATGATGCATTCTGCTCTATCCAAATAATTTCTTGATTCTCCCTCCCACTACCATTTTGTTCATTAAATCCATTTCATTGTCAATTCTGTTTTCTTTTTACCTGATAGGTACATTGTCTAGTAAAATGGTTTGAAACATCTTATTATTATTATTATTGTTATTATTATTATCTTGGATACAGGTCTATGGGAACAATGTGGAGATTCAAGCCTTATCAGAAATGTATAACAGGCCTATTCATATCTATTCCTACAGCATAGGTGATGCTTGATTGATTGATGGTTTTGATATAAATCTACTTGGGTTTGTCTTCTACCTTCGTACTATCCCCCTGACTAAAATTTATTTGATGCAGAACCTATCAACATTTTTCATGGAAGCTATAATACTGACACACCTCCCATAAGGCTGAGCTACCATCATGGGAATCATTACAACTCTCTTGTTGACCCTCGCCGTTTGACAATTGGTGCTGGACTTGGTTTTAGCTGTCTTCGAGGGGTGTGTCTACATTTCTTTCTCACATGTTTCTTTTTCTACTTTCTTGCTTCTTTGACACTAGGTTAGAACATGCTTTTGGCTATCTCATGTTAAGAAACTGAATCTGTATGTGACATTGGATGGCAAAATTTTTTTAACTTGAATAAGGAGTTTGAATAAGTTAGAATATCAAACTGGCTTTATATAGCTGACTGTGTTTGGCTGTGTAGGCAAATGTGGACAAGGATCAAGTCAAGGCTGCTATTAAAGCTCAACAAGACCAACAGATCGATAATGCAAGTATTTTGATAATTTGAGATTAAATTTTTACTAGTTTTTTGGGATGATATGTTATTAACAGAAGCTTTCCTTCTCTTTGATACTGTATATCCAACAGGCACTTCTGGCTGAAGGGCGATTTTACTCTGATCTTGAGCTTACTGAGAAGGAAATTGAGCGAATGGTTATGGAAGCTTCTCGAGCTGAGTACCTTGCCAATAACAAGTTTAAGCCACAAGTTGGGCGTAAAGAATCATCTACTTCCACTGCAGAACCATCTTCATCTGGAGCTAGTGAGTATCCTAGAGATTTCAAAATCTAATGTTGTGTTGTGTGATAGTGTGTTGTGAATATGAAGCTGCCGTATTATTTGCGTACAGGGCGGCCATCAGGCAGTGAAACCAAAGTGGAGGGTTGGAAAGAGCATGGTATGCGGGATACTGTTCTGAGCAGTGGCATGCAAATACTGTTGTCAATGGGATTCAGTTACCTGCAGGCAATTGAAGCTTATAACATTTTCGGGGACGATGTAGATTCCATGGTCTGTTATCTTGTAGAGACCAAAAGTAGCAGCAGACGCAAAGGCAAGGCAACACAACAGAATGAATCTGCGGATTAGTGCAAAAAATTATTATCAGGCTGCGTAGAGCGCCATCATAATCCTAGTGTTAACGTTGTTGTAGGGTTGGACAATTCCCCATAATACCGAAAGGCACGCCAGATGTGTTGATCAAAATTCCAAGTTAATAAAAATGAATTACTAGCTTAGAAAAGTCATGTGGGTGGAGGTCGCAATGTCTTCTTATCTTCAACACTTTGATTTCTGCCATTTTATTCTTGTGAGTCTTTGCAGGGTGTCACTGTCAAATTACCGAAATGATCATCAAAGTGAAAATAGTTAAGTTGAATGAGATATTTTAACATGTGTTCATTCAAAGTATGTTTTAAAAAAAAAATTGATTGTTTAGATTTTGTTTGGTTTATGTTTTTATTATTTTTTGTTATTTCTTAAACGAATTTTTTTAAAAAAATTAAATAATAAAATTATTAATCAAGCAAAGTTTTTATAAAATTTTAATTATATTAAATATAACCGTATAAATCGACTTATCAAATATTAAAAGAATAGGATACTTAAAAGTATTAACCATCTTTAACATTAAATATAATAATTAATACAAGAAAAATCACAAAATGAAATTTATCAATTTCAAAAATAAAATAATTTTGCAGTTTGATCCAAGTAGAATTTGAGTTTGACCCGACCCATAGAGTGAAGCGGCCCAGTTATTTATAACAGAAGTTGCGTTCATGTTCCTTGATGGAGCGAGAAGGGCAAATTAGTCAGTCCAAAATCCAACTAACTGAAAAAAGCTTGCCAAACAAGCTGAGTTTGGCTTCGCATCGTTTCCGTTGCCCATTCTATCTATCATTATTTTTCATTTTTTTTTCTCTATAAATATTTCACTTCCATTCTCCAAAAGGACAAAAATTCTGTGTAGCTCTAGGTCTAGGGTTTCTCCATTTCATATAATTGAAGCAAAAATGTCGCAGCAGCAATACGGGAAATTAATGCCTAATCTGGACCAACAAAGCACCAAGCTCCTCAATCTAACCGTCCTCCGTCGCATCGATCCTTTTGTGGAGGAAATTCTCATCACCGCCGCTCATGTCTCCTTCTACGAGTTCAACATCGACCTTAGCCAATGGGTTTTTACTACTTAACCCCCTATTTTCTAACCTGCATTTCTTTTTCTACTAAATTTTGCTTCTTTTCGTTAACCATGTCTTTTTGTCTGTTTGTTTTTTGCAGAGCCGAAAGGACGTCGAAGGATCTCTTTTCGTTGTCAAGAGGTAACTTTGAAAGTGTTTTTTATTCCACTTTTCCTTTTACATTTTCATTTGATTTTTTTTAATTGAAGATATTTCTTGTGCTTCATAATTCAGGAACACGCAGCCTAGGTTTCAGTTTATTGTGATGAATAGACGCAACACTGGTTAGTGCCCGCTGTCCCTGCGTTTCATTTATCAGTGTCTGACATTTGTATGCATTAAACATAGATCGCAAAAATGCCTGATGTAATTATGCAATTACTATCTTATTATGTCATTTTGGTGTCTTGATTAATTTAATATATTCTATAATTGGTAAGAATGAAGATTAAGTTAAAAAATTAGAATCTCATAAGAAAGTTTTGTTTTTTTAGCACTAAGAAGCTTCAACGCACCTTTATGAACAGATAATTTGGTGGAGAATCTCTTGGGAGATTTTGAGTATGAAGTTCAGGATAAATATCTACTATACCGCAATGCTTCTCAGGAAATAAATGGCATTTGGTTCTATGATGCACATGAACTTGAGGAGGTTGCAAATCTTTTTAGCAGGTACTACTAATTTTTATCAGTTTTTTTGCTTAAGTTTTCTGTCTCTGCATAGTGCCAACCATGGGTAAGTTTGATGGGTGGTTGGTATACCTTTTGGGCCATAATAATAATAAAAATTTCTGATTTCCCTGTCTTAGAATGATTGTCCACCTCATAAACATTTTCATAGGCATTGTTTGCTGTAGATATGATTATTTGAACAATGAGAGTTAATTTTTGGGCCATCTCCCCTTTGGTGTATCTGTGATAATTTTGTTGGTTTTTCATTTCCTATTTGAGTTATTAATAACCATTAGGCCACCCTTTTTTTAAGAGTTTACATCACAAAAGGACAGTGTATGATGCTCAAACACAAGACCAGAGTTGTCAAGTGCAAGTGTGTTGGACTGCCATGATTTGTGTTCTCAGCTTAGCTTGGTCCATGTATTTTGAGCGATAAGAGGAGGTTTAATGCGTGGTGAGCTCATTTTGAGGCATATCATGTAACTACAAGACTTGAATTCAAGCTGGCTCAGATTATGCTTACGGGCTCTCTCAGAGAGGGCTTTCACGTTTTTGTGTGTGTTTTGTCATTTGTGTGGTGAAATGTTTATGGTATTCTTGATTGCCTTTTTTTTTTTTTTTTTTCAATTTTTTAATTGCTTGTTTATGCCATTTTCTGTGCTTTTGGCATCTCCAGGATTCTTACTGCATACTCGAAGGTGCCCCAGAAGTCAAAGGTAACATCAACAAAGGGGTAAGCATGATATTCCCCTCTTGTTATTGTCCATGCATACATTTCATCATTTACTTGAAAATTAGCATTGTGCTTAATGATCAGAATATCTACATCACTTCATCATCTAGTTGAATTTGCTTTTGATTTCTAGTACTCTATAATTGTGATCTTTGATTTTTTCAATCAACGTTGCAGTTTCCAAGCACTAGAAATTACTTCAAAATTATATTCTGCTACATATTATCTTATCTGATTCTCTTATTTCACCATATGCGTAACGATCCTTAAAAGATGTTTAATGTTTCCTGATATTTTTGTAAATTGAGTTCCTGAGTCTATTATCATATTGGACTCCCCAACCCTTCTTTCTTCTTCGACCAAATGGTTGCTGGATTATTGTGCCTTTGTTTAGGCCTGGACCATGCTTTGATAAAATTTTGACAAAGCGCTTGTTTTTGTGATTCTGCTCAATTTTCAAGCTTTGCTGGTGCATTTTAGAGGAAATTATTGCTTTGAAATGCAAGATTCTTCATTAACTTGTAAAATTTTTAACTGTAATGAATTGGGAATGAACCAATTGTGATGTGCCATTGTATTTACTTTGTGAACTTTCAAGATATTCCAAATTTCCTTACCTTTCATCACTGTTGCTGGTAAAAAACTGATGACTTGCCTGTATATATTTTAAGAAAGCTTCTTCTTCTTCTTCTTCTTTTTCAAATTTCCAAGTAATGATACTAATTACAAATGCAGTGAGTTTGAAGAGCTGGAAGCTGTTTCAACAATGGCCATTATGGATGGTCCTATGGAGCCAACATTGTCAACTGCATCCAATGCTGCTGATGATCCTTCCTTTGTGAATTTCTTCAGTGTATGCATTGTTCTGAACAATGTACCTTAATGAATTGATTTTTGATGCATTCAGTTCTGCACTCTGATTACATGCAATATGTTCCACTGCATATGGAGGATATTGTGTCTCCCGAATATTGATAACTTGGCTCATTGTACTGACTTTTACTGGGTTGCTTAACCCAAAGTTGAGCTCTATGATGACAGATTCTTTGTGCTTAATTAATGAACAATTTTTTTTGGCTTTCACCCCGAAGACCTGGCTGTTGTTTACATACTTTAGGATAGCACACTGAATCTAATTGTTTGGTGATGCATGTATGTTATAAGGAGAGGGGCTGAATCCTATCTAGTGTTTAATTTCTAATTTTCAACTCTCCCTTGTCCTTTTTTAATCCATCTCTCTTTCTGACATGTCCTAAGTTGTTTATCGACTAACATACATGAACGAGGCTAGCTGTTGTCTTGTTTTTATGTCCCTTTTACCTTAAAAATTACATTTGAAAGTTAGAACAAATCAACATTTGTATCAATATTAAATGGTCAATGTGACTTTAAATTTGTCTTTGTAAAGATTCTGAAGTGTTCAGCATATTTGGCATTGGGACAACATTTCTTATGAGTGTCAAAATCTTATCCATTTTGTTACATGATTGCAGACAGCTATGACCATTGGAAGTGCTTCAAATGCAGTAGTTTCTGGACAACCGTACCAATCTTCTGCGGCAATGCCTGCACCTTCTAACACGGCTATTGATGCCTCCACTGCAGTGCCAGCTTTGCAATTACCTTCTCTTCAATCATCTTCTAATCCCTTAATGCCACTACTTGATAGCCCTGAATCCAGCAGCAATCATACTAATCTTGTAAAGCCGTCAGCATTCTTTGTGCCTCCTTCCTCTTCTGCACATATATTGCCACCGGTCTCTGCATCATTGCCCACTGCTCCTCTACTTAATCCTCCTTTGAGTCTGCAACGCCCGTATGGTGCTCCATTGCTTCAACCCTTTCCACCACCCACTCCATCACTGTCTCTTACACCCGCCTCTGTTCCCACTCAAAACTACGGTCTGACTATCAGCAGAGAAAAAGTTCGTGATGCACTTTTGGCTCTTGTTCAGGTTAGTTTTTCTGGCCATTGGCAATGTTTGAACTGTGAAAATAGATTCAAAGCTAATTGAAAGGATCTTTGGATGGTGAACTATTATGTGCCTTAGGAATGCTGATTGCCGATTAGGGATTACTCTCCCCTAGACTAAAACTCCAGGTTTCTTTTTTTAACTGTTTCTTTCCCATACATCTGACCAGCAATGCATATCTGACAGGACAAACAATTCATTGACCTGGTCCACGGAGCATTGCTAAATGCACATCATTCCTGACCACCTAATTGAAAGCAGCGTTATTATACCTTTTGCCATCTTTTTGTTTTTCTCTCCCTTTTGTTATCGATACAAAAAAGTTTAAAAAAAAAAAAAAACACGCAATTTGTATAGCATTTTGTCTTCCTCGTTGGACTCCCTATGATTCAATGTGATATGTAATATGGTTCAGATTTTTGCGAATGTAATGTTGCATTTATTCTTGAGGCCAAACTCACAATTCATGATAGTGTATATACAGTCATCGTAAAAATGGGCATCAGCGGCCATCCTAAATATTACTGGCTTACCAAACATCGTGATGAATAGATGCATATATATGGTATCTCTCGCTTGTCTTGATAAATAATCAAAGCCTCCCTAGGTTAAAACTTCAAATTTTCAATTTAAAGCGATTGTATGACCTTTCATTTACAGTTTTAGTTATTACTTATCACTGTTTAGTCATTGTGGCCAAAATTTTTTTAATATGAAAATCCAAGAAAAAACACTAAATTAAAATCTAAAAAGTTAATATCAAATTATAAATTATTATTAAATATTTAATATAATACTTAAATTTAAAAAATGTTGATGTGATTATGAATCAGTTAATTAATGTAATATTTATATCTAATGTGTCAAATAAAATGATAGGTGACTGATAAATAATTTTTTAAATATTATATTAATAATAAATTATAATTTAAATATTACATTAAAAATTTTTAAAATTTAAAATCATATAAATCAGTTTCACTATAATTTAACATCATTAACCCAAATTTAAATTTGGAAGGCCCAAACAAAATAACTTACAATTTAACTTTTGAGTTGTCCAAGATTCCCTTAAAAACGAAACTGAAATTTAGAAATCCAGGCCTCCAATAGCTTCATTTCCTAGTTTCCTCCTTTCCTATTCTTTGTTAGGAAAGAAAGCAGAATAATAGAAATGGCGGCGTCAAGGTTGGGAGGAGAAGCATTCTGAAGTACGTCCATCATTCAAGTAGCCCGCACAATAAGAAACCAGGCCAATTCTTCTTCTGAGGCTTCGCTTCTACTCTCTGTCAAAGGTATCTGTATTTTAACAAAACTGCCCTATAAACCGTATACTGTTAAATATTTTCTTTCTCATTTCTCTTCCTTTATTCAACTTCCCCACATCAGTCCTCTGCAATATAATACATTGAAGTTCTCCATCTTTGCCAGAAGTGGCATTTGCATGACCATCAAGGAACCTTTTATGAGCTGTAGAGTTTAACTACACCTTCAATGTGAAGGTTGTATGTATAAATCCTGCCACAGTGCTGCTAGTTTTTTGCATGCTTCAAATTTGATAAATTGTAATTAGTTGCAGTTGCTTGAGGGTCATCTTAGTAGACGAGGAGAGGCGTCGTTCACTTCCCAGGACCTATGCTACAGCTGATGAGTGATTTTGGTATTTCTTCGTGTCATGAATAACACTACTGCTCAGTTGAAGCTATGGAAATCAAATCACATTCAAAGTTGGTTGTTACTTGTCTGAAAGCAAATTCCGTAGAATGATATGAAAGATTGAATGAGTTTAGTAATATATGTGCTGAGCAAAACTTTTTCGCACCTTGATTGATCTCATTTTGTAAAAATAAATTATACCATCTATTTTTGGACCAAATTTTATAATGATCCCTCGTGATGCTAAAGCTAACAAAAACATTACTGAAAACCATTAGGGAACCTCATGGAGATTTCTGTTGCTACATCAGAAAACCTTTCCTAAAATGCATTTCGCATACAATGCTACTTCAACCATCGATCATGCCGTTTTCACCTTTCGCGAAGGGGGTCGTCGAAATAAACTGATTAGATCATCAAGACCCTGTAGAAAAGCATTGTCATTAGATTAACAATTTTTAAAACGTCGTCTCCTTTTTATTCTAACCACTGCAAATAAAAGGGTGAATATAGAGTGCATTAACATCAATGTTGAAGATTTGCTTAATAGTTAAGAGAGTGTACCCTAGTTGTGATGACAAGAAAACTGAAGAGCACTATCAAATACGATCCCAACACAAGAAGTAACAGCAAGTCAAATGTTACACTAGCAACCTGTTACAAAGCGTTTAAACCAGTCATTATCTGCAGTAGTAGAGAACGAGTAAAGATAAAAAGAAACAACTCCAGTCTATATCTCCATATAGTCCCAACCAAATCTGTCATTGGTCTAAGCCATTAACAATCTTCCCACAAAAAATTTGATAGAGTTGTTAATTCAACCATAAGAAAGAGATTGCACATTTAAGCAAATATTAAATATTCACCAATTGTAAGTAACTATAGTGAATACCTGATATATGTTAAGCCTAGTGTGAGTTGAATCATAGAAAGTGAAAATCCCTTCAAGAATCTCATTTTGTACGGTCACTTCGTCAGTATGATCAGCTAATTCCTGCCATAGAGTGAAACAAATAGCAGTCAGAATTGAAAGTGATAAAGAAAGCACATGTCAAGTCGTTCTAGTGTTTTCACCATTTACCATAAATCCATATCCTAAAGTTTGTTAAGTTCTATTTACCAATGAAGATACATGAAAGTGTATCCAATTGGTAGACGGGTAAAAGTTTTGAAGTGATGCATGCAACCTAGAATGAAATACAGATACTTTTTTCTATACTTTTGCTTCTGATTAATGGTACATGCAACTTTTCTTCATCAAAGCAAAGGGTTTATTTCATCAAATTCCCAATTGGAAAAGCATTTATCCAAGACATTTGACAATCCCTGTAATATTAAATATCATATATTTGATTGATTCTTTTAACCTAAATTCAAGTAAGGAAAATCCATACATTTCTTAAAGTGTAAATCATCATCTTAAAGAAACAAACAAGAAACATAGAGGAGAAGATCAAGAAAATGAATAGAAGGCAAACCTTTTTCAATGCCATGACAAAAGGGTCATTCTTTGAAATAAATGGAGCCACTCGAGGTGTTCGTGATAAAAGATCCAGCCAAGATTGTACATAAGAAGGATTGACAGCCAAACTACTGTCATCTGCAAAAATTTGGACATTTTTTCCCTGGTGGCCATAGATGTGCCTCTGCAAAAAGAGAGAAGTCAATTTTAAAATAAAAAGTACATGTCCAAGCACAAGCAAATGATTAAACCTTAATGTCTTTACATACAAGTTAATAACTATCTAAATACTCTTACTGTGCAAATAAAATAACAGAAACAACAACTCCCAACACACAGCCTTTCTGACCAGTTGGTTGGGTTCTATATGGAATACGATAAATAAAAGCATGGTTCTTTTTCATACTTTTCACACATGTTTTTTTTGGTTTTCCCTTCCTCTTCTGACACGTGCATCCCCCAATTCCATCATCTTACAGGAGCAAATTTGAGCCTGTCTCCAATGTCCTAAAGACTAAATTGCAAAAATAATCAACATATATGCAGTACTATAATTTTTCCTCCAGAGAGAATTGTAATAATCCTAGGTATTAATATGCACTGGATGCAATTCTCACTTCTATGCTTATACATGCAAATTCATTGCATTCCACATAAGAGCATCACATGATAAGTTATTCATGTCATGATAAAATTTAGCATTGCTTTGGTAGAGATCAGACATGGATCTGATTGTTCCACACATTCACTTCCAATAGGTCGCAGGTTCTCATAGATATTGCAAGATAAAGTTTCAATTTTTTTATGCTAACTCAAAAAACGGAAGGGCTAGGGGTTATATCTTGCAAGTACAAACTCATTTTAACATAAGCATGGCATTCAAAACCATTAAATCAATATATACTTGCAGATTGTTTGATCTTACCGCAAGACTTTCAGCAACTAACTTCACACCTCTAATAATTGCAGTTTCATTCACAAATTGTCTGCAAAAAATCAAGCTCTCAGTAACTAGTCTCAAACACATAGACAGACACTCTGGCAATTGGATTAAGTTAGAAAACATGACCTGCTATCAAACAGACCTCCAGTGCCTTCTAGGAGTTCAGGCGCAACAGAGATTTCAGAAAGAGTGGCAGCAGTAACTCTCAGCCTTGAGAATTGTTCATGCTCCCAAGCTACCTACAGCAGCTCAACTGCTTTATTACCTGATCTAAACAGCAGATATGCAAACACACAGAGCATTCCTATATCTATCCACAGAATGCACCTTCATGTGTGATGTCATAATGTAAAGTCATATGTTCCCAAAAATGGCAAAAAAGTTCAAATTTAACAGATTTATTTCGAGAATAAGATAACCATTGTCCAGAAAAGATGTGCTGCCCAAGATAGGCCACAGGATCATAAAGGACAAAGGGGTTACCGCTGCAATGTGAAACCAAAAAATAAATTCATTCATAGGTATATCAACATAAAATTTCATAGGTTCCTTGTAATGAAATTAATAATAAAAAATACTAATAAAAACATAACAATAAGTTCTTAATTTCACAAAATGGTAACAGAAGATGGTTCAAACATAGAAACATATACATATATCAACTTACTCGAGGATTGGAGATGTTTATTTTCTTGTGCTTCAGGCCAACTTTGAGGTCCAACTCCTCTGCTACATTTGAGAAACCCTTCAATAAACAACAGTATCAGATTATGAACCATGGAAAGAAAACTCAATATCATATAATGACTTCAAAACCTATTATTCCAGATGTTAGTGGCTTACCTCAAAAATTTGCTTGATGTAGGCATTTTCTGGAGGCTTAGACACATGAATCCACAATTCATTATCCCAAGAACCAATACTATTTAAGCAAATAGCATAGTCAATACTCTCACGTAAACGTTGATCAAAACTCCGAAGCCACTGCACAGAATATGATACTTAAATGACCATAGTAACCAAAATTGATGGCAAAGTTAACCAATCAGAAAGATATAGAAGCCCTTGAGAGATTTGATAAAAACTCAATTCACCATGGAAAACTAATCACCTTCTGAGTTCCATTGTAGTTATATGGTCCACCAGATGTCAGACCAAAAAGTAAATTGTACCTTCCTCTTGTCCTAGGATTTGAGTAGAGAAGAGAGAATAACCTAGCTACTTCAAGAAGCGCCACAATGCCACTTCCATTGCTGTCACTTCCCAGTGATAATGCCTACACGTACAAAAGATTTCTCACACCTTCATCTGGAACATTCAAGCCAATTTTATTTACTGAAATTTAGTAAAATACGTACAGGAGCAGCCCCAAAAGTATCATAAGATGCCACAACAGCAATGGTTGGAAGTTGATTTGCATCTACATCACCTTTCAATCCAGACAACCACCCCTGTTACCACAGAGCACAATTACCAGAGTAAACTTCTAGCAAACACCAGTAATAGCATATTCAAGATTCCCCAGATTATACATGCAATAAAACTGGCTCAAGATAAATTAAAAATACCAATATGTGATGTCAAAATATCTTTCCAAACAAAAACTTATATGAAGATGGGGCATTGAGACACGTGAAAATGAAGCCATGTAACTTTCAAGAAGCACTGATACATTTTCTTCATTCCCTCATCAGAAGGCAATAAGGTTCTTTCTTTTACATCACCACTAATATCTTGACCTCAAGCCTCAACAGTTAGAATACAAGAAAAGGTAATATTTTCATATGGTAAAAACAAAAGCAAGTGAATGTCTTCCACATACTACCAATGTCTGATTATTACTATACATAAGAAGCAGCTAGAATACAAGCCATGTTACCTTTTCTGGTATGTAATCAGTTACAACACTTTTTGTTCCCTTAGAAAAGTAAAAGTTGACACACACCTGAATGTTAGTGATGGTGGGAGATGCAACTTTCTTCGGTTCTGGTGTTGGGATAACAAGCTTGTATCTGCAATTGTGTCAAAAGAGTTGGAATTAAACTTGAATAATGACAACAAAAACTATTTTCTTACCAATCTCAACAGACAAATGAACTAGAGAATACACAAGGACTAACAAAACAGTCATAATAGAGGTAGAGTCATATTTACTTATAAATACACAGCCATGGCAAAGGAACAACAACAAGGACTAAAATCAGGCACAAATGCAGTAAGATTAATATAGGAATGTCAGTGAATAAAACAAGTGCGTTGGTTGGTAGAGCCTTTAGCTGGGAAATGATCATTCTACAAAATTTTGAGAAATAAAAAGAGATAATATGTTCTTTCCCTCAATGAAAACAGGTAAGGCTTCAGGCTAGATTAACGGGCATCCTTATGGAACACTTGAATAGTGTCATTCCCCCATAGTCTTTTGCTGGAACAGTTTCAAAGAAAGCTTATTACAAATGAAAACCAAACAAAAATTTGTTTCTTCAGAAAAACCCTGTCTGCACTCTCAGAGAAAAAAATAGCAGGTCAGATGCAGGTGCTTTTCTACTTAAGGTAAAAGTGCAATGAAAACCCCTCATGAGACAACAATTGCACAGGTTATGACACATGAACTTTTTAGGTACAAGGGAAGATGGCATGGTTCGTGAAGCTACTGAAATTTATGAAATGATAACAGCCATTCTCTCAAAAAGAAAAAGGTATACATCTTATCCATTAGAATTTCCAAAATTTTAAACAAAAAGCTATCAACTGACCCGCCAGTAGTTGCAGTAGCAGGCTGACCAATTGCATCATTCTTCTTGATATCAGACAACACAGTATCAATTTCATCGTTCTCAAAAGCGAAATAGACAGGATACTGCAGCACAAATGAGAAACAAGAGGTGAGAAGTAGCAAAGTTTTTCTCTTTTCTTGCAATTTTCTCCACTAAATTAGAAGTAACAAAGGTTTCATTTGGAATAACAAGAACACTATCAACTGGATTTCAATTCTAAAAATCTTATGCATACAAAGAACATGAGGTGAAAACTGAGAAGTAGAGGACAGATGTCTGCCCTAGCTGATGAAACAAGAAAAACATAGAATGATAGTGACCTTTTGGAAACTGATGAGAATGAGACCTAAGTATATATCATAATATAATTACTTTTCTGGAGAAAACGCTCATTAAAGATGCAAGAATACCAATAAAAAAATGTTGGCTCAAATCCTAGATATATGCATTGGTTTTCAAGTTACTTATCATAGGCATGTTTTAAGAAGAAATTTCATGGATTACGCTATTTTCCAATCATATAATTAGTTGATAGGCAACCGCTAAAGATGGAAGCATGAAGCAAGAATTTGGAATCTAAATCTTTTAGACTCTGCAGGATTTTTGGAACAATGCTAGAATAACTAGAAAGTAACTGTTAAACCAAATATGCAAACAAGTTAAAAATTAACTTTAATTATGACGAAAATGCTACTATAAATAAATGCTGATGCAGTAAATAGAATTTGCATAAAAATTGCAAGTCAAAAGATGACGACATCATTAAGAAGAGCCATTAAGTACGATTTAGTAATCAGTCAACAATGACAAAGAAATGCCCTAACCGACACAAATTGAACATGCTAAATTGTTAAGTTAATAAATGACAAGAGAGGGGACATTGAACATTATTCAGTCTCAGGCAACAAAGACAAAATAACACTCCAAACAAAAAAAATCAATCATGTAAGCTGTAAAGTTAACAAAGCTCAGATCTTAACGAAAATTAGGTTGGAAAACGAGGAAACTTCAATCCCAATACACAGTGTTTACTAAAAAATCAAAATTGGCATGGAAACTTACATAAAGATATAGATTCCAATAATAATTTAGGGTAAAGTTATAATTTGAACAAAAGAAAATATATCACTGATATACTTACTGGTATATTTGCATGTATAAGTAACTGTTCGAGCTCTGCCAATACATTTTTCAATTTCTCTTTTTCATGAATTTGCTTATTCCCTCCATTTTCAAAGCTAAATACTTGTGGAAGCAAAAACAACAATCCTCCTAACGGCTTTTTCTGATTAATATATTCTGCCAACCGCAAAAAAGAAAAATGTTAAATTAAATCAAATTAAAGAACTAAACAAAGAGAGGGAAAATTGAATTGTTGAAAATGAGAGTGAACCTCGAACGAAAGTGATGTTTAATTCACGGAGAGGGATGATGAGGACGGTTCTGGAAAGATCGGCGCCAGGAGGGAAATGCAAGGAGGCGGCGTGGTGGTTGAGGGCGGCGAAGCGAGATCCGAAAGGGGAACCAGACATGTCGTATTGGATTAGACGGTAGACGTCGACGGCGGCGGCGGCGTTGCATAGTTCGATGCAGGCTACTAAAATGAAGAGTAGAGCGATCATTGAGTACATCGATTCTAGCAACTGGCGGTAGGCGCCGGATTTCTTTAAGGCCGCCATCGGTTGGAGGGTGTGGAACGATTGGATCTAGGGTTTGGAGAGCGTGGAAGGATAAATTTTCGGGTTTTTATTTATTTAATTTTGGGGTTTGATTTGAGTGGCTTAAGTTTTTTTTGTTTAATGGCGTGGAGCAGATTCCATTTCCATGTCAGCGTTTGTCACTCAAGTTAACCTGGACAGATGGTAGTGTTTTTGTTTGTTTAATACCTTATCATTATTTTGATTTATTTTTATTTTTAAATGAGATTAAATTAGACATTTAGAATTAAGGTATGAGACAAAATCAAATAATAAATAATAAATATTTTAAGAGAGTTTCTCAAATAAAATTAAAAAAAGTGACATATTTTTCTAATATATATTTAAAAATTTTAAAAATTTTAATTTAAAAAATATGTCATTTTATTAATTTCACTTATAAAATTAAAGAACTCCACGTATATATATCAAATAATTTTTCGTATTTTAATTTAAAACCATAATATTACTTTTTTTATTTTGTACTTAAAATAATTTATTTGTTTTATTATCTATCATTTTAAGTAATAATTTAAAATAAAAATTTCAAAATTTTCTATATTACATCTATATGTAAGATAATTTTTTTTTTTATAACAGTGAGCATGTCTGATATGAGAGAAATAATTATTATTGTTGAAATTTAAATCTTAAATTAGTTGAAAGATAATTGTATAAATTAATTATACTAAATATTAAAAAAAATTGTCTTATAAATTTCTCATTCTAGGATTCCAAATAAAAATTTAAACTCTTACAATTTAGACACTCCTTTATCTTACCTTTATTCAGTTTTAGAAGTTCGCATTCCAATACTTTGAATTGAACAGTTTGGTGACATACAATTTGGGAAAATCATTATCAGCATTAAATTATAGTGGCTAGCTTTAAATTGGAAAAAAAAAAAAAAAAGAGCAATGAATACGCATATCAATTTTAATAGAGAGATCTGCCAAAAATCAATTCCAACAAAATCCATCAAGTTGCCTCAACATGCACTTACAAATGCACATTGAGCTCAAAATTCCAGTTTTAATATGGATCTTATTTTGTTAACAAAAAAGGTTAGAGCTAGAAAATTAGAAAAAAAATATTAAAAATATTAAAATTTGAATTTCAAATACATGAAATATAATTTTTTAAAAAAATTATATGAATTAATTAAACAAAATTTCAAGCTCATCTTAATGCTCATTTTACTTTGCAGCTGCCGTCCAAATTTTGAGCCTACTACTGGCGTTAAGCATTTCACCTTTTGCTTCAACTTCCAAAGACGATTCAATTCAGATCGTTTGTTTGAGTTTTGGCAGCAATATTGAATGTATATGAGAGGTTGCTCTAAGATGGCTTTGACACATCCATATTTTGGCCAAATGACCACATGTCTAGGGACAATTTACTGACCCTCCACGGGAAGAAAGATAATAAGACACCCTGAGGACATTTATGTGATTCTCCAGTCCCAGATAACCAGATTACAGACAGAACTAGTTAATTTTATCAATGAAAGCCCTTTTAAACAGAATTCCTAAAAGAACTTTTCCTCTAAATTGATTATTCAACATCATATGATCATGAATGGTTCTCACTGGCAATTATCATGTTACTAAAATGCATGGATTTCGAGCATCATTCTTGGAAATTAGAAATATATATAAAGCATCAATACCGCCAAATGAACTTACAGTCTTGCTAGCATTCCATAGTCATTGAAACTTGCAAGCTAATGTATGCCCCACAATCCTGCCGGCGCCAGCCCAGGAAAGTAGTAACCACATTATTCCACTAATCCTGTTTGGACAGCTTTCTTGTTGGAATCATCCCAATGTATTCCAATGGGACAAAAGGTGACTGAATTTCCAACTATACTGCATTAGCCAGGGAGAAATCAATTCAGTGTTGAAGTATTCAATCATAATATGCAAAATTGGAGACTCAGTCACTTGACTGTTCCTCATTTTCTGGAAAGACAAACTGCAGGTCTTCATTATCTCTGTATACTTGACCGAGAGCAGCTGCTTTGTAGGCAAACATCCCAAGCATTGCAGGCACAAGCTGTGAAGAACAAGGACCAAAAACTATTAATGACAATACAAAGTTCTTGTTGCCATGTTTCAAACTTCAAGAGTGTTTTGGAATTTCACAAACAGGCCATTAACCATATGCAGGAAATTGATTAACAGGTTTTTTTCAGAAAAACCTTGTTTAAAGAGCTACCTGTAAATCAAAGAAATCATTGCCCAAAAATTTATGGGACATGATCCACAATCCATATACAGCAGCTGGGATCACTAGTCTTGGAGAAGAAAGAGCAATGCCACTACCCTTAATTGCTGTCTCAAAGAAGACCTGCAAGTCCTCACTTCTTATTCCTATTCTGGAATAAGAAAACAAGCATCATTGAACACAAACAAAGTGAACAAGGAGTCACTTATTACTAGTATGAAAAGAGTGATCACAAAAAGAAGACATAAGTTCTTAGTAGTACTTTTTTGATTTCTTTTGCATGAAAATCTGAGGAACCATTTCCTTTGATAGGTTGTCCACATGTTGACATAGGAGCTGGAGGTATAAGCAACTGCACAGAATATGAATTAGGTTAAAACACTTGTACTAAGATGATTAACAGAGGTGGCAAAAAGTCATGAACAATAATAAAATGGTTTCTCTCCTCTTCCTTTCCTCAAGAAAGTAGCACATGAGCAACATTTGTTCCTAAGTTGAGCTCGCTAAAATGCTGATCAGTTAAAAGATATCATCAACTAAGATACTAAATGGCTTGTACAAGTCAATAACCTTTTGATTGACTGAATGCAGAAATAATTTTCAAGGACAAAAATTTTATTAGGCCCCTAATGATTTCAAGGGGAACAAGGCCATCGTGCCTCAGATTAAAATATCCCCCCGGCTAACCAGTGGATGAATTTTACGTTTTCTTCTCTGAATAAGATAAGAATGGGAATATTTCAGTCTAAATACATCATTCTGATAAGTAAATGTGAGGAAAGATGGAGGCTTAAACCTTAAGATCACCTCTTTCATTCTAAAAATTCATTACTAGCATAGGGTTGCTACACTAAGCTCACTAAAGTCAATTCAACAGAAATAACCTAATTAGAAATGTAGCTACTAACCTGAAAAGAACCCCTACTGCATAACTAACAGCAGCCTGCAGAATATTAAAGCAGGTCAGTTCTGCTTTCACCAAAAAAAAGTAGTCAATTCTAAGGAAGCTAGTAATAAAAGTGACAATTTTGGAAAGTCTCTCTTCTTTTCCCTCTTGAAGCAATATCTCCTAACCATATAAGGAAAGGAAGTACGCCTAATGCTTAAAAGTAAAGAATCTTGGCAAGATTCCAGATTCATTTCCATTTTTTCCAGTTTTCAAACAGGGCATAACTTATCAAGACTGTGCTGAAAGAATATCAAGTCATTAAATTTTAGACATTACAACCCACAGTACAGCTGGTTTTGGTAAAAATTTTACCTGAACTGATAACACTATCAAACAATAGACACAGCATGCGGTTCCAATTCCAACTGATAAAAGCATCAATTCCCTCTTGAGCTGCAAGATCAATGACAAACAATTAGCACCTTTCATAACAATTTAACAATTGTATGACACAAGACTTATTCACAATTTGCAACCAAAACCTCTTTCCAGTTATCCATTGTCCTTGACACATTACTGAAGCAACTTCATACAAAAAATAACCCCTAGAACTAGCTGAGAAATCTGATGAGTTCAAGATGAGTAGCATACAGCTTCATATTTAAGAAGGCTCAGTTTCTTCCTTTTTTCACTGTCATCCCGCAACACCTGTTCATACACATAGGTTAAAAACAACAAAGGTGATCAGTTTCTTCAAACTGACAAACCTTCTTGGGAGTTAAATAAATGTTGTGAATTTCCTCTTTTCCATTTTAAAATCGAGCCAATTCTGACACACATATAGGCTTTGAATCCATTAGTTTCTGCCCTATCGTAGAGGTGGCAAAATGGGTGGGCGGGCCATGGCACGGTACAGCCAGCCACAATGGACCGTGCCAAGACAGCCCATATTATAGGCAGGTTGGGCTGACCTGGTCCAACCGGCACATTTGCCACCTGTGTTTATACGTGACAACCTAGAGCAGCCACCTGGTTAACCTGTTTCTGGTCCAACACCTGATTAGGTTTGGCCTAGCATTAGTCTCGTGCACACGTGTGTCACTTTGTGCTTCTTTATATGTATAAGCACAGAGCTCCCAGCATGGATAGCATGGGGCACAATGATAACCAGAGATGAGGGCAGGAAGGGGATAATAAAAAAGCACACCTTGGCAATGACTGTCTTATTCCTTGGTGCAGAATTGTCACCTAATAACCATTCCTGAGTTCTTGACAGCTTCAAAAGTCCACCGTCATCATCATCACTTCCAATAACCTACATATATTCAAGATCAATAACACAGGTGAATTCAATCAGCTTGGTCCAAATAATATGTGTGGAGGAGATATTACACAACTAAAGAAAAAGAATTCCCCCCTCCCCCAAGAAAAAAGTCTTCCCTCTCATTCACAAATCAGGAGCAAAGAAGTGGTTGGGCTAATGGAGTTGAGGCAGCACTATAATTACTTATGAAATACAGAAATAACAAAGAACGCCTTAAACTAAAATCATGTCAGCATTGAAAGCAAAGAGATAATATCGTAATTCGTGCCTGCTCTGCTTGCTGAGTAGTGTCAGCAGGTTCGCTGGCATCAGCATCAACAACTTTCGCAACCTCTCTCTGCCACAGCATGTCAGAAGCTTTGGAAATAAAATCTCCATTTATTTCTCTATCCTTGAAGAACATCTGCAGAACATCCTCATCTACTAGTTCACCCCCTGAAAAATTTATCAAAAACAATAGAAAGAAATGACCATCTCTCCGCAATTACTATATCCCTATAACTATGATTATATATAACTCAAACACTATAACCTCAAAAACCTCTTATCTGAAACACTTAACTGTTTCAATTAGTTGTAGAAGAATTCACCCATTTACAATCTTGGTTCAAAGATAGAATGATAAAGAAATTGCAGCAAGAGGTACAGGATACAATTCAATGCAATTATTATCCATCATCATGGCCTAACATTAAAATTCATCATAATGAAAACATTAATATTTAATTTACCTCAGGTGAAAAACCTCCTTAAGAAAAAGTTGATTCTTTGATAACCCATAAAACATTCTTGTTTCATAATAAGCCAAAAAAAAGAAACCTTAAACTTCAAAAGAAACCAATACCCAATATGACCCAAATAACCATGAAACTGAAAACCCAATGGCATAATACAAAGTGTAACGCAAAGAGATTACCCGAACGAGAGCTTGTTTTCAAAACAAAGACAGTTGGGGTTCTTCTGGAAAGGGGTGTTTGAGGTGGAAGAAGGGGAGAGAATCTTGTAAATGCAGAACTGCTGCAATTGATAGTGAAAGCAAACCCTGAAAGAGTGTCCATTGGCAATGGCTTTTTTTCGTTTTTTGCGAAATTGATGGCAACCTAGCAAAAAATATAGAGGGCGTTATCCATTTGAGAACATTTTCTCCAGTTTGACAGCCTACGGTCTACCCCTCCAAGCCGAAATAAATCAACGTCCTCATCATACCCACGTGGCGCATTAAAATGAGGGAGCATAGGAAGAAGAAGGTCGAGGAAGTAGAGGATCCAAATTTTATGAAGTTCTGATGCTGGAGAAGGGTTTATGAAATGCCTCGCCCTTTTTCTTCACAAAAATGCCAGATTTGCTTCCGAGAGCTTCTTTCTTCTTTCAATTAAAACAAAAGACCGCCAGAAACAAAAAAGAAAAAAAAGAAAAAAAATACTGAAATAGAGAAAAAGGAAAGAAACAGATGGACAAAATGAAGATCGAAGGGGTTCAATCTACAGCCAAAAAGCAGAGAATCGCTTCTCACACTCACATCAAAGGCCTTGGTCTTGATGTAATCACTCTCTCTTTCTTTTTAATCTTTATCCAGCTTGAATGCTTTGCATTTCTTTTATTTCTTCAACAGTGTTGTCATTGTGAGCATTTTGAAGTTTGCTTTTGTTTTGAACAGTGGAAAGTTCACATTTTCTTAAAACCCTTTTCTGGGTTTAGGGTTTTAAGCTTAAAAAGTTCTATTTTTGTTCAAGTTACTGGACATTTGTTGTTAATTTTTAGGATTTGGACTTTTGGTTCTGGTATATTTTTAGTTTTAGAGTGGATAAAATTATAGTTTAAATTTAATTTAATGTCCAACAACGGAGATAATAATATATTCTGAATGAATGTTTCTTAATTCGCTATTGATGGACTATGGAAAGAACTGGCTAGCTTTTGCAGGCGAAGGTTGTTATCAAGTGTATGGATTTTTTTATGCATTGTGAAGTTGAATAGGTGGGTTTATTTCATGTATTTTCGCTATGAAGTTCTTGGAAGAGTCGGTTGATATAAACAAAGAAATACTCTAATTGCTAAAATGCGATCTGTGCCCCTCTTCATTTTGATCAAATTTTAATCTTTTATGGACTTTTCTTTTACTTTATTTACCAGGCCAATGGAAATGCCATTCCTTTGGCTGCAGGTTTTGTTGGCCAAGCAGAGGCAAGGGAAGCAGCTGGGCTTGTGGTGGATATGATAAGACGGAAGAAGATGGCTGGCCGTGCACTTTTGCTGGCTGGACCTCCTGGTACTGGGAAAACAGCATTGGCACTTGGAATATCCCAAGAGCTTGGGAGCAAGGTTCTCATTACTTTTTTCCCTTTATTTGTTGAATGTCCTTGAACTTTGGCATTATTACTTTATTAGTATTCCATTTTTTTGGAGGGATTGTCAAGTTTGGTATGTATGCATTCCTCTTTGTTATTTGTAGGTTCCATTCTGTCCAATGGTTGGATCTGAAGTATACTCATCAGAAGTTAAGAAAACCGAGGATTTGATGGAAAATTTCGGACGTGGTATTGGTCTACGTATCAAGGAAAATAAAGAGGTCTATGAAGGAGAGGCAAGTTACAGCTAACGAAGTTACTTGTCCCTGGTTTTATGTAGTTGTTTTCTCTTTGGATTGTTGGGATAGCTGCAGAGCCTGATGCCTGGCTGGTCTTGTTTCAGGTTACTGAACTCTCTCCTGAAGAAACAGAGAGTGTGACAGGTGGTTATGGTAAAAGCATTAGCCATGTAATTATTGGATTGAAAACTGTCAAAGGATCAAAACAGCTAAAGCTGGACCCTACAATTTATGATGCCTTGATTAAGGAAAAGGCAAGCCTTTAAATTTCTCTGCTTTATTATGTGGAAAAAATTATTCAAGTTTTTATGCTTCTGACTTCTTGTAAACTGTGTGAGGCACCATTGAATGTTAAATTATTTGTCTCCTTCCTCTAGGGACTTTTCAACATTTTGGTTGTTATCTGCGTTAGAGCTTTGGCTTCAACTGGATATCTAGTGAGATTTCTAATATGACTGGCAGGTAGCTGTTGGAGATATTATATATATTGAAGCTAATAGTGGAGCAGTCAAAAGGGTGGGCAGAAGCGATGCTTTTGCAACAGAATTTGAACTTGAAGCAGAAGAATATTTTCCACTTCCGTAAGGAGAGGTTCACAAAAAGGAGATAGTGCAGGTTTGTCTCCACTGAGTTCAGGCTTATCTCTGTGTACCCCATAGCATTCATGCTGTAGTATATTGTTATCAGTGATGCAGGCTTCTGTCTTCTAATGTTTTATAATGATGGGCATGGACATTTGTCTAATTTGGTAACAAATTTCATTTGTAAATATTAAAGGACCATTATCATCATGTAGCATTGTGGTATAAAGATTATGAACTCAAGGTGCATGTTTATCATAGCATTTGAGACATGAGAATTGTTTTCTGAAATTTCTCACCTAGAATTTGTTGAATACCAACTTTTGGTCTGCTTAAAAGCTGTAATAACTCAATTAAAAAGAAAAGGAAAAAAATTCTAAAATTTTGATGCCTTGTTCTACATTTGCCTGATTTGTTTTTGCTGGGTTTAGTTCATTTTCCTTTTTCTGGTTCTAATTTTATTTGTTTTGGGCCCATGTTGCAATTCATAAAAAAAAAAAAATCTCTTCTATTTTCTTCATCACCTGGATGTAACACTCCATGATCTGGATGCTGCCAACGCACGGCCACAAGGGGGGCAAGACATATTGTCTCTAATGGGTTAGATGATGAAGCCCAGGAAGACAGAAATCACTGACAAATTACGACAAGAAATAAATAAGGTATTATTTTCCAAACAAATTTGAGTTCTATCTATATGATGATTTTTGTGGACAATCAATAGGAGTACAGTTTTACCAATGTAGTGATTTCTTTGTCCCATTCCATTAATACTATTACTTGGAATTTTATCTAAACGCCATGCAAGTCTTATTTTGTTATCAAGTTTTTAGAGTTCGGCTTGTGTTTCTTACATAGTTCACATGGGAGATGATGTACTGTATAACATGTTCTGCATCTAAAGGCATTTATAGGTCTGTTGGATCAGTTTGTAGTATCATAATATTCTAAAAGCTATGAAAAACAATATGCTTTTATTGAATAAATTTGAGATGTATCTCAGTCCGTCCCTTCCAAGCAAAAACTCCTGAGTCATAAAGTGATGCAAAATTTATGTGATGATTTCCATTACCTGCCATGGTTTCCTATAACAAATTTATGTTTTCTTCATCTCTTTTCGTCTGAATAAATTCTCAAATCCTAATAGTTTAAATATTACTTTAAGAGCATAAGTCTCTTCAGCTAGTTGCTGGTTTAATTCTAGTATGAATCTTGTTATGATATGCCCCTAGAAGCTATCAATATGCTACATGGTCGTGACTTTTAGAGTCAAATGGATTGCTAGTTCAATTTGGATACAAGCTTATGATGTGGATTTTGACTTCATTCACTATGCTCAATTGTTTGTTAGAAAGATGGCATGCCTTTTACTTGAAATAATGCTGTTTGTGACAGGTAGTTAACCGTTATATTGATGAAGGTGTGGCAGAGCTCATCCCAGGAGTTCTATTCATTGATGAGTTCTTGTCCTTTTCTTTACTTGAGCTGTTTTCAATTTATGATATATCTGCTTGGATGCATGGATATAATATATGTTTCTATGTGAGTAAGTGTGCACATACACGTAGATCTAAGATATTTTCTTATATCATGACCTGGCACATGCTCAAAGAATAGTTGCACATCATGCATGCTTATGTTTTCTAGTCATGATTTGCAGGTGCATATGCTGGACATGGAGTGCTTTTCATACTTGAATCGAGCTTTAGAGAGCTCACTATCTCCAATAGTAATTTTTGCCACAAATAGAGGAATATGTAATGTAAGGTAATGGACATCTTTTTTAGGTCAGAATTTTTGGAATATGGGCTTGAACTTGAATATGAACTTACTGGCATTACTTCAGATCCATGTAAAACAATGCCATTTGTTTGGTTTTGTTTTTTATGAAGTATAGAATACAGAAAAAGCTTGATACTACAAAAAGATCACCCCTAAAAGGATTTGGTTGTTGGGGAAATTTTTGCATTTGTTCAAAATTTAGGCTCTCAAAATTCGAGGAGCAGTGATAGGATGAAACATGAATCAAGTTTAACTCAATTCATCTTCCATGGAGAGTAGTGAAATGAGATTTTTTCTTGTCTGCTAAATGATATTGGCATATCATAGCTGCATTGGTTGTGCTCTGTGGTAGTTACAGCCAATTTTTAATGAGGTTAGCCTTAGTGAGGATTGATGGTTGATGAAACTGGAAAAGCTAAATCTTGTTGGGCAAGGTACATTGTATTGTAGGAAACAACTCACACTATTGGCAACTAGTGCTTGCCTCTTTATTTGGTGTTTTTATCCTTTTTTAGTGGTTTCCAATTGCTTGTCTATGCAACTGGGGGCAGTGCACCACTTGCTTTGGGTTATATAAGCTTCTTTCTCAATTCAACTATGGTAGGTGATATTTTGCCTTAAAGTATAGTTATTGCAATGCTTAAGCATATTTACAGAGGTTAATGGGTTATTTATACTTTATTCCTAAAGTGACTTCAATTTGTTTTGCTCAGAGTTCAGATAGCATCATGTTACATTAAAGAAATTGTGATCCTCTTTTGGTGGCAGGATTACACTAGTCATTATAGATTTATAGTCCTTGTGGGGTGCAGACACATGAAGTAAAATTTTGATCGATACTCGATATTTCTGGTGTTTTCAACCCATTATCCACCTACCCTTCTCTCTCTCTCTCTTTTCTTCTTCTCTAACATTATTTTTCAATGTGGTGTGTTTCTGTCGAAATTACACTTTCTTTTTGCACAAGAGCAACCCAGAATTCTCATGTGCAGTTATGTGTGCCTATAGAGGGTTATAGTTTTACATGTTCAGTTTGCAGGTATGCAATTTAAGAATCAGAGTATGAGACCTATTCTGCAAGTTGATTTTTTTTTTTTCTTTTCTGGCCTGAAGATAGATCCCATGTTAATTGCTACATTCCCTAGAGGTATACCTGATGGCGTATGTTCTCATTGCTTGTGCATTGCTGATCTGTGTGATTCTAGTTTCTGAAAAATGGATTTGCATTTTTGCAGGGGAACTGATATGAATAGTCCTCATGGAATACCTGTTGACTTATTGGACAGATTGGTGATCATCCGCACATGGATTTATGGTCCTGCTGAAATGATACAGGTTAAGACCTGTTTTTATGTGCTTTATTGTCAGCATAGTTTTGTTACCTGAAGCATGCATCAAATGACAACCTAGCTATAATTTTCACTTAATGTGGTCTGCAGATTTTAGCAATTCGTGCACAGGTGGAAGAACTAGTTGTGGATGAAGAAAGTCTGGCATTCCTTGGAGAGATTGGACAAAGCACTTTTTTAAGGTAAGGCTTAAATTCTAGTTTTACTCTTATATCATTTGCTCTCCTCCATCAAAAGCATACTTACATGTTTCTGTTTCTTCAGGCATGCAGTTCAGCTGTTATCGCCTGCTAGCATTGTGGCAAAAATGAATGGGCGGGACAGCATTTGCAAGGTAATTAAATATTCGGAAGCGGCAGTTCTTCATTACTGTTTGTTATCTCCAATTCAAAGTGTAAATTTGTTCTTATTTATTTATTTATAGGCGGATCTTGAGAGGAAGTAAGCAAGCTATACATAGATGCCAAGTCTCTGCAAAGATTCTTCAAGAGCAGCAGGAAAAGTACATTTCATGATAATCCTATTTAATATTTTTCCTGTTGCCCCAGTAGTTATAGCTTGGATTTTGTTGTGCATTATGTTTGAGTAGCTCCCTTCTCAGTGGTAGATGTTGAAAGCAGAATGGTCTGACACTATTAACTTAAGGATACTCTTTTTGTTTGTCCGTTGATCATTAGTATGTGGAATGCAAAATGAATTACTTATAGCATAATCTGCCCCCTTCCTCTATTTTATTCTTTGGTCAATTCTAAGGTAAAATGGGCATTTAGGGCTAATTAAGACGTGCCATTGTTGGCAATAGGATATAAATCGGACTGTTGTTTCTGGTGAATTATAGATTTGCTTTAACTCTAATCCATGATTATATTATGCGGGATTGGATATAAGATATAATCAATCGAGTTCAAGTCGATTTAATATTAAATTCGAGTTTAAATTTGATTTCAAATTTGAAGTTTGAAATTCGATTTGAACGAATTTTAATTTTTTAATTCGAATTTAACTCAAGATAAAAATCGAATTATTTAAATTCATTTGATTAAGTTTGATTAATATAAAAAATAAATTTATTTTTTATATTTGATAAAAATTTAATTATTTATGTTCGAATTTGAATTCGAGTTTAAAATATTTTATTAGTTAAAATAATTAAAATATATTAAAATATAAAAATTTAATTAGATTTGTGATTAATTCAAATTAAATATAAAAATATTTAAATCAATTCAATCAATAAGTTAAATTATTAAAACTTAAATTTGATTCAATATTAATCAAATCAAATTTAAATTTTATTTAAATCAAATTTAAAAAATTTATAAATATTAATATATCATTTATATTCTTAAACGAATAAATTTTGACATGAGCCCGAGTCCATCAGGAGCGGGCATTGCTCTTCAATATTTGCTTTTCATGGATCTAGTAAAACCCTAGTCCTAGCTTCCCACCGCCTCAATACCAAATGGGCCCGACCAACTGACTAGACCAAGGTTATAGATAGACAGTGGAAAACCTTCCATGCATTAATTGTACTTGAAAATTAGTAAAGCAACTTGTTGACTACATTTTCCGCCCTATCTCATACTCAAATTGGCTCCTCCTGTGTCATCCTTTTACACACCGTTGGCAAGTTTGTTCTTTGGACCTACACCAATTGGAAAAATAGTGTAAAGCAACGAGTTGTCTGCATTTTTCCGTCCAATCTCATAGACAATTCACTCCTGCTGTTATCCATTTCCACACCCATTTACACGTTTGCTCCCTGGACCTACACCAATTTGGAAAATTAGTGTTAAGCAACGAGTTATGCGCATTTTTCCGTCTAATCTCATAGACAATTGACTCCTGCTGTCATCCATTTCCACACCCATTGACATGTGTGTTCGATGGACCTAGACCTAACCCAATTTCATTGCATTACATGACATTAGACTAAAAAAGGTTGATTTCTTAGCTAATTGGCGCTTGGAGGTTTACTTATTCTGGATCTGGACAAGCGTTTCTCCAACATCCACTTCTGTCTGCTTGTGAAAACATCACGTCTCAGAATTTTTATAAGCACCATTAAATCACAAATGATTTTTTCTGCCTTCTTAAATTTACAAATATTTATATTGTATATAAAATTATAATGAGATAAAATAAAATGATATTATAAATAAGATTAAATTAAATAATATTATATTATTTTTATATTTAATGTGTATAAAAATTAAGATAAAATAATTAATTTATTAGTTGAAATTATTATTTTTTAAAATTTATATCATTTAAATTATTGATATAATTTTTAACAGTATAATATGATATGTAAGTCTAATACTATGAATTAAAAATAATTCTCTTTATTTTGAGAGAATCAAATCATTTTATACCAAGAAAATAATAATCATTCTTATAATCTTATTATTTTTAATTAAATACAAATTAAATATAATATAAAATAATTATCATACTATTCTATTTATCATTTTATGTACTAAATATAATTTTAATGTATAAAATAATCTTTACAACTACAGTTATTATCTGGATCATGAAGTAGGAAAAAATGCAATAGAAGGTAGAAAACTAAATCAGAAAAACAGAAGATAAAAAAAAAAAAAAAAAAAAACTCATTTTAAAATATGAGAGCTTTGACTTGGTTTCATTTTAGCAAATTTAGGTAATTAACCTGATATTTTATCGATATTTTAATACCTTAATGTATTTATATTTTGTTGTTTACTTTATTTGTAGGTTCGATCCCTGAGTTTGGTAACTGACCCAAAAATCAATTGGTCCTATTGTGCTTTTTCTAATGCTATATGTATATATATATATATATATATATATATTTATGTATGTATATATAAATTACCCTTGCAAACATGGTTTTGTGGATAGACACCCCATAGGAGTATTGGGGCTCTACGTCTTATGGGTGTGTATGTTTTATTTGTGAGTGGACTAAAAGAGACTGAGAGGGTCCACATAGGTATGGTGTATGAGAGCATATGGGTATGTGTTTGGTTATGTTGAAAGGGTGCATAAGGGTTTGAGTTTGTGTTTGTTTGGGTTGAGAATATTCTATAAGACTAGAGGAGATTAAGAGTGTCTTATGAGTATTGATTGTTAAGTGAGGTTGATGATTTGATGTATGTTTGTAATTCTCTACAACTAGTGGATCTTGTTTCTCATCCGTGGATGTAGGTCAATTGGACCGAACCACGTTAAATTGTTGTCTCTTATGTGTTTGATTTATTGTTTGATTTCGCTTTCGCTGGTGTGATTAGATTGGAGGCTTTTAGCTCAACAAATGGTATCAGAGCTGTGGTGTTCCCCAACAAGTGGTATCAGAGTTGAAAGTTCGAAACGTGAGAAAAGTCAAATGTTCGAGATGTGGGAAGAGCTGATGGTTCGAGACATGGAAAGAGTTGACAGTTTGAGATATGGGAAGAGCTTTGTTTGAAATATGAGAAGAAGTAAGCTTAGAAGAGCTCGATTAAAGAGAAGAGTTTGAGTTCAAGTTTTGAGGATTGGTTTGTATGAAGCGTGAAGACACAAGAGAAGAGAAGAGAAGAGAAGATGATTGTAAGACTTCCATTGCAGGTGGAGCCAAGGATGTCTAACATGAAGACAGATGATCGATGAAATTTGAGTCAAGGTGGAGATTGTTGGGAATATTGACTCAAATCTCATAAGAGATTTGTTTGAGATTTGTTAGAGATTTGTTTGGGATTTGTTAGAGATTTGTTTGGGATTTATCAGATATTGCTTGATGGACAAGAAGACTTGCAAAAGAAGAATTTCAAGAGAAAGAGGATTCTTAATAGGTAAGTTTGACTTGCAAAAGATGAATTCTAAAAGGAAAGGGATTCTTAATAGGCAAGTTTGACTTACAGGAGAAGAATTCTAAGAGGAGAGGGATTCTTAATGAGCAAATTTGTATGATTATAAATATGTGAAGTCTCTACAGGGTTAGGTATGAGAAAAAGATGTAAGAGAGTTGTAGGGTTTTGTGGGATAGACACCCCATAGGAGTATTGGGACTCTACGTCTTATGGGTGTGTATGTTTTATTTGTGAGTGGACTAGAAGAGACTGAGAGGGTCCACATAGGTATGGTGTATGAGAGCATATGGGTATGTGTTTGGTTATGTTGAAAGGGTGCATAAGGGTTTGAGTTTGTGTTTGTTTGGGTTGAGAATACTCTATAAGACTAGAGGAGATTAAGAGTGTCTTATGAGTATTGATTGTTAAGTGAGGTTGATGATTTGATGTATGTTTGTAATTCTCTACAACTAGTGGATCTTGTTTCTCATCCTTGGATGTAGGTCAATTGGACCGAACCACGTTAAATTGTTGTCTCTTATGTGTTTGATTTATTGTTTGAGTTAAGTTCTCAACATCTTTTTGTGCATTTTGCTAGAGAACACATCATGTGGAACATTACCTGGTTCTTTCTTTCATTATTGATGATACACTCCTTGATCGCTAGCTTTGCAATGAATTTAAGGAACCTCACCACAGATCAAGCTGCGGTTCTTGAATTCAAGAACCGTATATCTGATCCTCACAAAATCTTGGCAAAAAATTGGTCTGCCTCTACTTCTGTTTGCAACTGGATTGGGATTTCTTGTGATGGTTACCACACAAGAGTCAAAGGCTTGAATCTTCCGAACATGGGTCTTTCAGGGACCATCTCTCCACACCTCGGAAACCTCTCTTTCCTAGCCTCTCTTAACTTGAGCGGCAACAATTTCCATGGACATCTACCTGAACAGTTGGGGCAGTTAACTCGGCTGAAGCACATTGATTTAAGCTACAATACACTTGATGGGGAACTTCCATCATGGCCTTGGAACCTTGCAAAGGGTCAAGTTGTTGGTCCTTGGCAACAACCGTTTCACAGGTACAATTCCTCGTACTTTCCTCAACATGTCAAGCTTGGAGACTTTAGAATTAAGCAGCAATTCGATAGAGGGAAACATTCCAGACATGACGGGAAATCTTCAAATTTTGAAGATATTTAATATCACAAACAACCAATTCGTTGGTTCCATACCTTCATCCATCTACAACATTTCATCACTGCGAGTCATCCATCTAGCTTTTAACAAACTGTCTGGAAGTTTACCTGATCATCTTTGCGACAGCCTTCCCAATCTCCAGCAATTTCACTTGCATCATAATGAGGTTTCTGGCCTTATCCCGTCAAGCTTAGGAAAATGCAGCGAGCTTCAAATTTTATCATTGTCTTCTAATCAATTTAATGGGCTCATTCCGAGAAGTATTGGAAATTTAACTAGGCTCAAAAAACTTTATTTGTGGAGAAATAATATACAAGGTACGTATAGACAATTTAAGCCCTTTTGTTTTGTTCACAAATTGGAAAACAAGAGCAAGCTGTTTTTTATTGGACACGATTATGAGATGTTACTCTTTGATGTTGGCCTTATTTGTAGGTACGATCCCACGGGAGGTCGGTAATCTTGTTAGATTGCAGATCTTTGACGCGCGAGGACTGTACCTCACTGGAATCATTCCGCCGTCTATCTTCAACATTTCTTCTTTGCAAGAAATTATGCTCGCTCAGAACACTCTATTTGGTACTTTAATCTTTTACAATTATTATTCCCTTTTTCTTGCATGTGATGGCATATTGACTTTTCAAGCACTTTTAAGAGTAAAAAAAAGGATAATATATATTGAGTTTGATATTTACTAGCAAGTAATAAGTAACGCATCAATGGGCATATCGTTTTTGTTCTGATACTCATACGTACTTATATTAGTATGTTTTGACATATCATTTCATGTTTAACGATATTTTTGAATTTTTCATATAAATATATATAACATATTTTCAAGTTTCCTAATAAAATACATTACGTACACATACAAACACCTCCAATCCATACATTTATATGTTTATATGAAAATATATATCTCCAAAATTTATAAATATTTAATATCCAAAATTTTCAAATATTAATTAAATGAAATAAATAAAAAAATTAGAAAAAATATAATAAATTCTTATTATAAAAGCTCAATAACCTAATCTAATGAACATATTTGATTTTTGAATAAATTATGATAAAATAAAAATTATCATGAGAGAAAAGTAGAATTATGAATTTATTAAAGGAATTAAATAAGTGAAAAACTTAAAAGAAAATTAAAAAAAAAAAAATTATATCACGTGATACAATTGATACAAATTGATAAGATTGGTACATTAGATACAATACCAGTACCGTGCCAATTTCCTTTAAAATTAATACCTATCAATGGATATTGATAACCATTATTATGAGTCAAACCAGTGACACCAATTCAATTGGATGCAATAAAAATACTAACAATAAAAAATGAAAAGAAACACATGTTGGACAAGTACCTAGATACCTCCACAGGACAGGTAAATATGCTATTTAATTTGAAAAATAAATACGTCTAAAATAAGGGATAGAAAATATGACATAATTAGCTAAATAATTTGAGTCAATGTTGGTCAGATGTGCATTTACTGGTTAGAGGAGGAGAGGAGACTGTATATATGGCTGGATATTAGATAACCTTGGGGAGGCTGATGGTTTATTTGATTTTATTAACACATTTATGTTCATAATTCTCACATCAATTATCTAATTAATTTGATAGTCAATTAATTCTTCTTAATTTTCATACTATGTAAAGCATAGATCAGATATAACAGCAACGCTTAAAGCTTGTCTGATAAGGAATGCTTCTGCTTTTGCAGGTGAAATACCACATGAAATTGGAAACCTTCATAGATTGGAGATATTAGGTCTTGAATTCAACAACCTAAGTGGTAGCATACCATCAACAATCTTCAATCTCTCAACCATAAGAGAAATTGAGTTACTAGCCAACTATTTTTACGGCCAACTTCCCTCTGATATTGGCCATAGGGTTCCAAATCTTGAGAAGCTCGAGCTATGGGGAAATAATCTGAGTGGAGTCATACCCAGCTCTATTTCGAATGCTTCAAACCTTCGATACTTGTCATTGGAAATAAACTCATTTCGCGGTCTTATCCCTCATGAACTTGGCAATTTACGACTCCTTCAGTGGCTTTCTCTTTTCTCAAATCATTTCACGGCTGAACCTTCCAGTCAGGAGTGGAGCTTTCTCTCTTCTTTGGCAAATTGCAGGTATCTAACACATCTTGACTTGTCGGATAATCCTTTGAATCGTGTTCTTCCAACTTCTATTGGAAATCTCTCTACATCTCTTCAATTATTTTATGCGGAATCTTGCAACATTAATGGCAATAGTATTCCTGAGGAAATTGGTAACTTAAGCAGCATTGTGGTGTTATCCCTAGCCAACAATGAGTTCTCTGGATCCATTCCAAAAACAATAAGAAGGTTAAAGAATCTCCAAGGTTTGTATCTTAATGGAAATAAACTAGAGGGATCGATCCCAGACAGTATATGTAGTTTAAAGAGATTGGATATTTTATCCATAGAATATAATGTGCTCCAAGGATCGATACCCAAATGTTTGGCTAATATGACTTCTCTTAGTACTCTCAACTTGTCCTCCAACAATCTGAGTTCTAGCATACCCTTAACCTTTTGGAGCTTTCAGAATATCTTGCAGATTGACTTATCCTCAAATTCTCTTAGTAATTCTGTTCCCTCAGATATCGCTAACCTGAAAGTACTGATTGACTTGGACTTGTCAAATAATCTGTTATCTGGTGAGATTCCAACAACAATTCAAGAGCTCAAAAATCTACAACTTCTGTCTTTATCCAAAAACAAATTTCAAGGCCGTATTCCTGAATCTATTGGTGGTTTGATAAGTTTAGAATCCTTGGATCTTTCCAGTAATAATCTTTCCGGGGTGATTCCCTCATCTTTGGTGAAACTTTCCCATCTCAAATATTTTAATGTTTCTTTCAATAGATTAGAAGGAGAAATTCCTACTGGGGGACCTTTTGGAAACTTCTCGGCTCAATCATTCATGAACAATTATGCACTATGTGGTTTACCTCGATTGCAAGTCCTACCATGCAAATCTAATGTTGTTCAGCAGTCCAAGAAGACAGCAATGATTATATTGAAATTTGTTTTGCCAACAGTTGCTTTTTTGATGTTGATAATGGCAATCATCATTTTCTTTAAAAAATACCAGCATAGGAGTGGTGATCTACCAGGTCGCGAGGCTTTGTTTCCTGTGGCAACATTGAGAAGAATTCCTCGTGAAGAACTTTGGCGTGCAACTGATGGATTTAATGAAAGCAATTTACTTGGTTCGGGAAGTTTTGGTTCTGTATATAAAGGAATTCTTTCAGATGGGATTAATGTTGCAATAAAAGTTTTTCAACTTGCAATTAGAGGGAGCGGATGAGAGATTTTTCGCAGAGTGTGAAGTGATGCGCAATATCCGACATCGTAATCTTGTCAAAATCATTACTGGTTGCTATAATGTTGACTTCAAAGCCTTGGTGCTTCAGTTTATGCCAAAGGGGAGCCTTGAGAAGTGGTTGTATTCTCATAACTATTTTCTCAATGTCATCCAAAGATTGGATATAATGATAGATGTGGGCATTGGCACTAGAATACCTCCATTATGGTCTCCCAACACCTGTGATCCATTGTGACATAAAGCCAAGTAATGTTCTACTGGATGAAGACATGGTAGCACACATCGGTGATTTTGGCATTTCCAAACTTTTAGGAGGAGATTCCATGACACAAACGATGACACTTGCCACTATTGGATACATGGCACCAGGTGATGTTTTATCTTCTCCTATCTTAAGTTTTTATATTTCTGGTTGACTCAACGTTCTAGTCTTCTACTAATATATTAAAATTCTGTAATTGTGCTACACTAATTAACATATATATACAATTAAGTTATTAATGATGTTTTTTCTTCGAGGAATTGTTTAATGATTCAATTGCTTTTGAAATACAGAATTCGGGTCAATGGGAATTGTTTCTATGAAAGGCGATGTTTATAGTTATGGTATTTTACTAATAGAAACTTTCACAAGAAAGAAGCCTAGTGATGAAATATTTGCTGGAGAAACAAGCTTAAAACATTGGGTGAAAGAATCATTGTCTCGTGAAATAGTTGCTGTTGTGGATGACAATTTATTGAAAAGAGAGGATCAACAATTCATTGCTAAAGTAAATTGTATATCATCTATTATGGAATTAGCTTTGGAATGTTCAACAGAGTTGCCCGAGGAAAGGAAAAACATGAAAGATGTGGTAGCCATGCTAAAGAAGATCAAGATAAAGTTTCTAAAGGATGTAAGGCGAGCTTAATATTGTAAAGAATATACTTTTATATAGTTCTATATATAGTTTGAGCTATAGACTGTCAAATATTTAAAAAGAACATGCTATTTACTTGGAGGGTCAAGCATATCACTAAATGCTTCTTAATTTTTGATGGTCGGTAATTGGTGAGAAAAAAATTTCTCCATCATATCGTTTTGACATTGGATCCTAGGCCTTAGACAATGAATTTTATCTTTCAATTTTAATTTCTTCGTTCGTATTACCTTTCTAAGATTGTTTCTTGTTATACATAAATACATCTATATACATACATATTAGAACTCAAAAACACGAGTTTGTATTCATTGAAGAGGGCAGTGGTTGCTTAGTATTACCAAATGAATTATAAACTTGATTGTTTCGTAGGATATTTTTTAAAATTTCTTTTGTTTGTACATAGAAGATTATAAATGCATTTATTTATTTGGTTGAAGTCTATTACGAAGAAGATTATTAACCAACAAAGTTTTTTTGGTTGATTTAGTTTTGCCTCCTACAATTAGAGAAAAATGTTGAACTTTAGAATAGTTTATTGACCATCGAACCTATAATTTTTGTGATTCAAAATATTTTGCTCATTTTAATTTTTAAAAATTATAGGGAAGGGGGGACGGTCATCATTTGCTTGTGTTGGTGACTTGGTGTCGGTATCCAGTCAAATGTCTACCGCCGCTAATTCACTGTTCCATGCTATGTGTGTTGGATTTACTACTCTACGTTGCTTCTCTCTGTCGCTTTCTACGTCTTTCTCATTCTTCTTCTCCTTCTTCTTCTTCTTCTTCTTCGTCAGCTTAAAATTCTGAAAAGTTATGTTTTGACAAATTAAGCCGTAATTGAAAACTAGTAATACCACACACCTTCATCTCGCTGTCGCCGCCAATTCGCTGGAGAGAAAAGCTTGGGTTTTAGCTGCTAAAAGCCTAACCCCATGGCTCGCTTGACCAAGGAACAGCTCTTGAAAGACACACAAAGCCATGATCCCAACTCCATTCATCTCTCTCTCTCGACAACAAACCTCTCTCCGATGAACGAAATCGCCGTCATTTCTCTTTCTCACATCCCTTCCATTTCCTCTCGTCTCATCTCTCCTCTTTTCTTTTTACAGGTTTCTTGCTTGGCTAAATTCAAGAACTTGGAAAGACTCGACCTTGCCTTTAATAATCTCACATCACTCCAGGTTTTTCTTTCTCTTTTTTTTTTATTGTTTATTTTTTTCTCATTTCCTGCCTATTACTTATTAAGTAATACAATTAAATGTAATTTTAATTTCAATTTATGGGGATTGAAATCTTGCATTAATCTGAAATGGTTATCAGTTGTTCAAAACAAATTGCAAACTTCGAAAGGAATTGAAGGACTCACTAAGCTCACTGTAAGTAGCTGGATAAAACTTATCTGTGTTTCTTCTTAAATTCCAAATTTAAAAAAAAAATTAATCACATTCTCGAAAATATGATTCCTTTATTTGTAAATTAAGTGTTGAATGCAGGCAAAAATGAGCTTACATCAATGGAAGAGGCTAGGTGTTGTTTGCATGTGTGGACTTGATGAAATGAAAGATGTGAATACTCTTGGTATGAGTTCACAATCTTCATGTTGACATTCATTGTTGTGCCATCAACTTGTGCTTTCATGACAATCTATGATGAAATGTTTTGAAAGTTAACTTAGTTTGCTTTTTTATTTAAATTTGAAATGTAAGAAAAAAGGTTGATAATAATACAGCTCTGCTGTTCTAGAGTGGAATGTTGGATGATTGTTGCTTCCTGATTAACCGCTTCAAAGCACGCTGTTACTTATCCCACCTCTTTTTTCTTATTGGCACTACTCAAAAGCCAACATTTTAAAGATGGCTATGAATAGTTGCATATTGTTAAAAGGCATTTTGATTTGGTTAGGTTTTACAGCAGATTATAATCAAGTACTTTCTGGTTTCCATTTGGGAATTAAAATACACATTTGTGAGTGCAAAACGGTTAAATTCTCTAGCACCATGAAGGATTTTGGTCATCCATGGATGTCAAAAATATCTTATTTGTCATAAAACACACAAAATCTGTTATTAAGTTGTGTCATGGAGACAATACAACAATGTTTGGTCCTCTTAGTTTCATTCACTTAGCTAAACTAAATGAGGAGACAGAACCAGTTTTGCTTTCAAACTAGTGCATTAGAAATCTCTTATGTTGCTTAACTTGGGTCATACTCTTTGTCTAGAATTTCCTGCAGTACTTTCTAGGAATCCTATCAGTGAAATTGTGGATTCTCTTGTCAACCTGAAATCTATCACAAAGGTCAAGAGTTCTGTTTTAGATATATTATTGAATGCAATTTCACTTGATTACTCCTCAAGCTTTTCAATTACTCTTGGTTCTGGCTTTCTGCGTCTAACTGCCAATTTCAAGCTATTGACTCGTCGCTCAAGTGCTGCATTGAATTAAAAGAGCTTCAACTTGCTCACAATGATACCAAAGTATGTTCTTTTACACAATGACCATCCCAATAAGCATGTTCTATTAATTACAGCCTCTGTTATGTATCAATTAGCAACTTTCATTATTATTTCCTATTTCTTTACCATATTCTTTACATTTTAAAGATTAATTATTGATTCTCCTCTCCCACCCTCTGTTGGTGCATGTGAATTGCCCAAGGTCTCCCAGCAGAGTTGTCTTACAATAAAAAGACTTCAAAATTTGGACTTGGGAAATAACTTGATCTCTGTATGGTCGGAATTGAAGGTTTGCTCGCGAACTCAATTTTTGTCCAGGTTTTATGATTTTTTTTTTTTTTGGAAATCTATTTTCTTCATGGTTTATTGACAACAAACTAAACAACAGGCACCGGATTCATTAGTCAATCTAAAGAATCTCAATCTACAATGAAATCCTGTAGCTGAAAAGGATAAATTAGCAAAGAAGGTAAGCATGTTTGCCTTTTGACACTTTTCTTGTCTATGTTTTTCTTCCTTTTTTAAAGAAAAAAATATTGCTACTTTAGTCTGTTGACATGATTGCTATAAGACACTGCTGCAGGTTAAAAGGTTGTTGCCTAACTTGCACATATTCAATGCTAGACCAATTGATAAAAGTTTCAGAAATGAAATAGGTGAAATTGTTTACATTGCTTCACATAATACTGCTTATAAGGAGGAAATCCACAAGGAGCAAAAGGATCTGAAAAGGAAAAATAATCCCAAATTTCAAGTGTCATATCAGGAAAAGGATATTAATGATAATGCTACTAGTCATGATGCTGAGAAGTTCTAGTTAATGAGGATGATATCATTGTTGAAAAGGAAGAAAAGAAAAAAAAAATCAAAGGCAGAGCAGGAAAATCTGAGTCACATGGGTGCGGAGAAAAAGATTGCACAAAAAGGGAAGAAAACAAACGATAAGCTCCTGCAGAAAGAAGTTTCAGTGCACGATGATGGTATCATGGTTGAACAGAAACCAAAGAAGAAAAAAATAGAGAAACGGGCTAAACTTGACATTATTGATGATGGAGGCACCTCTTTCACAGAGCTTTTCACCACTGATGTTGCAGATCCAAAAGATGATGATAAAAGAAAGTTGATAGAGCTGGTCAAGGTATGAAATCAGTGGGTAGCTTAGCTACCTAACCTGTGAAAAAGACGAAAAGTAAACGTGCTGCGCTTCCCGAACTTCAGTTGTCCCCTGCAGTTGAAGTTGGAATAGGCGATCCATCAGCCTGGGATGACCAGTGAATCAGATTTTCAGCGCCACTCAGTTTCTAAGTTAAGCTAGAATTGAATTATTAGTTGCCATTCTTGCTTTCTTGAGGTTTGTCTGCTCAACTTTATGATGTCTTAGGTGAATTTCGGTTTCTTTTATCATATTGGATGTGTGCAGAAAAGATTGGAGGTCATTTGATGGGTGGTTAATCAGATGTACTAGTGTATTACCAGATGAATTGTAACTTTCAAACTTGAACTCTCAGTCCCATGGCGTTTTTGCACTGCTTTTCTTGAAAGAGGATGCTAGAAAGATGAATTAACATGTGAATTAGATTAAGTTAGCATAAATTATTGTAACAGATAGTATATGCCATTATCTGTTCTTCAAGGAAGTGATTTTTTTGGCTCTCAGCAATGAAGAATGGGCAAGGAGAGTGAGCATAACTGTGATCATAGTCAAGACTAAGCTTAGGGAAGTGGGACAATTGAGAATGATACAATGTTATTACTTCTTTTATTTATCCCCCCTTCTTCAATTCTAAGAAATTGATACATACACTTAGAATTAGACCGAGCATGGAATTTTTTAGTGCTGCTAAAAAATTGACTGAGAAATAACAATGCGATTAAATCAACATTCAAATTTTTTAATTGTTAAAGGCTCAATCTAACCAGTCTTGTCATCTGATTAAAACCTTAATGTGCAAAAAAAAGATATCAAAGGAAAGCAATTTAAATTTTGACAAAAATCATAAATATGCAAAAAATATATATAAAAAAAAAAACCGTTTAAATTTTGATAAAAATTATATATAAATTTAACCAAAAAAAAAATATGTATTTCATATTTAATATGTCAACAAAAATTATGATTAATTTTTTCTATTTTATATGTGTTTAACATAAAATAAATACAATATAAATACATAAATTATCAAATCAAATATTACTCACTATTTGGCTTTGACTTTGAGTGATGGTGAGCTTAGTGGGTGAGTTTGAAATGCTGTAACTTGATTTGGTTAATTGAAAGGTACGAGAACCAACTTCACATATATCCAATATATACGGTCAAGATTAAACTGAACTAAGCAACATGCTAACTAAAAGGTGTCGATAAGCTTTGACCCTTTTTGTAGTTTTTATCAGGAACTTGTGATTAACACAGTTTAAAAACAATAACAATTGAAGTCGGAATTTAGATTAATTAAATTATATAATTATTTTTAAAAAATGATGTTCATATAATTATTTTTAAAATATAATAGTTAATAAATATAAAATTTAAATCTTAATACATATATATATTTTTTTCCTTCATCCGACGGCCTCTTTTATTAAAAAAAATAATAATAAAGTTTAAAGATAATAACAAAAGAAAATGGATATTGCATTTCAGTCTCCATCAGGCAGTTGAAAAGTCTGAAATTGCACCATGTCAATATCTCGTGACACAATTGGAGCTCTTCATGGTGGCTGGGTCAAGGTGCCGTCTCCATCAAGCACTTGAAAAAATCTCAAGTTCATCCCCTTAATTTCGAGGAAACATCAAATTTCAAGTCTCCCTTCCATCAAACTTGTTTTGATTTTAACTGTTTTTTTTCATTGATATTTTCTTTGTTATCTGCTCTCGGGGAAAAAAAAAGCTGTTGGAGACGGGATTTAAGCATGATATCGATATTTATATGGATTTCGATTTTCAACCTTTTCTAATACTAGTACTTTTCATGCAGCCACCAAAGACTTCTACATATGGACTAAGAGTCTGACAAAATTGTAAAAAAAATTTTAATGTCAGTTATCTATTTGATATGTAATGCTTTTGATTGGATTGGTATATCAAATTAAGTGACAATAAATTAATGGATAATTTTACATAAAAATTAAATTCACTAGATCAATTATTTTATTTTCATTTAATTAATTAATTTTTTTATAAAATTATAAATATAAAAAAATTATAATTATAATCAATATTATATTATAAAAAATCACTGAATTATTTTTTGGTATAACAAATGAATGTTGACAAGTTTATTTATATGGAATTGGTAAAAAGAAAAAAAAAACTAGTTTACAATGAGCAAATCATAGGTTTGTCTTCCACTTCTTTGTCACTATCTCTATTTGCAATTTTTTTTTTCTTTTTGTTTGTATAGACCACTTCTTGACTTTCTTCCAAAATGAAAAGATCAAGCAACCCCTTTACGACCTAAAAATCAAAGAGGGATTTTAATCATAAATTAACTAATTAATTACTCTTATTTTCCACATATTTGAATTTATTTACAAGTTGATTTTTATCCACTAACAAAGCATATTAGAACCAAACATCAAAGCCATTTTAGTCATATAATTAGCATTAGACCAAACATCATAAACCTTAAAAATTTTAGCATGCTTAATTTAGAATTTTGAATCATATACTAATTTTAAAAAAGGCCACTTTCAGGCTTAAGTTGTTATTCGAATATTAGGTATCATATTAAGAAAGGGATTAATTTAATGAAACCTATTCATGCAGTCTAGCCAAAATAGTAAACAAATACCAAATTGGCCATGATGATTATAACAGTTTAAGCGAAATATAGAGTTATCAATAGCAAATTAATATGCCATAATCAACTTGTTGTATTTGGGGTTGGCTAATGCAATCTAATTTGAAGAGAATAAATTTAGTTAAGGGTCTTCTAAAAAATTTTCTTAAGGATAATAATTTATGCATTTAAATTAAAATGGACTTTTTTAAAACGTTATTCTCATGATATAATATCTAAATTGAAAAAAAAAAATTAAAAATTCTACTTCAAGAATTTCTTGAACATGCTTGAACCATGAATAAGAAAATGAGTGTGAGAGAAATGACTTAATTCTTCCAAAAAAAAAATGTATGTAAAGTTGTATTAAAATGAACATTAAATAGAAATATTTATAAGTCTCAATCAGTGTTGGAAACACCTCTTCATGAATAAATATGCATGTTTTAGATGAAAATGATCACTTTTAGAATAAAACATTATATCTAACAAATATATTTTATGAATTTTCAGTAAAAGCAATAGAATATTCAAACCATGACATTTGAATATCACAAATAAATTTTTGCACAAAATGTGAAATAATGCATGACATTTGAATGTCAAGGCTAATTTGAAATAGATTATTATTAAATTTGATCATATAAATGTACTTAAATGACAATCGAATCCCTTTTACTTATTTTTTATTTCAAAAGTTATTTAGGTAAAAAAAAAAAGCTATACCATTTCAAAGTCAAAGTACATCACAAGTCTCAAAACACTTAGCTTAAATCTACAGATCGTCTATATAAACAGAAAATCTGGCAATAAAAAATAAATATTTAATACTTTCCCAATCAATCAATTTCGTGAGAAATTTATTATTATTTTTGTTAAAAAAGTTTAAGAATAGATAAATTATTTAATTTTTTAAATTAAAATAAAATATATTATATCTGATAATTTAAAATAAATAATTATAAATTATATATTTAAGATAATTTTAACAAATAATCATTAATAAAATTTAAATTTAAAATTTTTTAATTAAAAAAATAAATTTTAATCAATTAAATCAATTTTAAATACATAAAATTGTGTTCAAATTTGGAAACCTCGTGAACATGCGAAACATAAGGGTAGTTAATTGGTTGACCAGAAAAATGCACCAAGTAAAATGTAACGTCTCTCCGATCATCAAATCTACATTCTTATCAAAAAAAAAAAAATCAGCTAATAAATGCGTGGAGAAAGAGTGAATCCCACGACTTAATCTCCACGTCCTCAAGGAGAAGCCGACATGCTTGAAATCAGAATTACGATTATTAAATGAAAACATGGTTTCGGCCCATTTTTCAATTTTCACCACTTTGCCGCGTCAGCCACCGCTTGTTCCTTTCCTAGTGTCATCAATGCTACCACCAAACCCGTGTTCGGCTTTGTTGACTACAATAAGCGCACGTTAAAACTTTAGCCGACTGCTCAAAATATCACCAACTTGCCGGATTTGGAGGGGCCACCGGAAAAAAAAATATTAAAGGAATGAAAACCCTTGATCTAAAACAAGTACTTCAGTGTTTATCTATATTGAAAATTAATTACTTGAGTTGGTTACACTAAAACTATTAAAAGATTTAATTGGAAGGAAGATCATTTGTCCATCATTTTGGAAATTATAAGAAGATATATTTGAGGTACGATATCAAAAAATATTGTTTAAAGTAAATTACCAATATAATAGAATCCAATTTACCACTTTTTCTCAGTATATCTTAACATGTTTATGATCCTCTCTCTTTTAATTTTATATTTTTAATTAATTATGAACAATGAAAAAAATAATAATACATAAAATTTTTAATTTTTTATATTATTAATAAACATTCAATTTCAAAGCAATTTAATAAGTGAATAAATCCAACTTAGATATAAAATTACAATAAATAAAAATTTTAATAAGTATAAAATAATATTACTTTAATAATTTCTCACCACATTTAATAAAAATTAAAAGTTAAATATTAAAAAAGTCTTTGAACTATTTTACCTTTTTTTGAAATAGATATTTATATTTTATTATATTCAAATAAATTCTTATTCTTTGATTTGCATCCCAGTAAATTTTTATTTCAAATAAATTATTGATTTATATTAAGAGTTTATTTAAATATAAATTAAAAGATAAAAGTTTATTTAGATATAAATTAAAATTTAAAAATTTATTTATATACAAATTAAAAATTAATTTTTATTTGAATATAATAAAAATATAACATTTTATTTAAATGTGACAATTTAAAAAAAAATTTATTATTTTTTACCAAATAAAATTTTACTAGATTACAAACTTAAAACTTATTACCTTACAAACTTAAAAAGATATCAGACAAAAACAATAAAACAAAATCTAAATTCTGATATTATATTAAACGTGCAATCTAAAACTAATTAACAGCCGTTCAGTGATTTCATTTGAATATAAGATTTCCCATTTTAGAAGAAAAAAAAAACGTGGAATTATGATGTGAACAAGACATTTCCCAACAAAAGTCCACGTTTGACTACTCTGAATTATGAAGTTTCCATTCTCCTTTTAAAGGCTCCCTTTATCACGACTCCGCTTCGTCTCGACTCAAACAACTGTCAGCAAACCTCATTAACTTCCCAAAAGAAAAATGAAAACCAAAACATCCAAGGCCTTTCATCAAGGCGGCAACGCCAGCAACGAAACAATCTCCACCGTCCACCCCGACATCATTCAATCCCACATCCTCACCAGACTCGACGGCCCTTCCCTCGCCTCCTTCGCCTGTACTTCGTCCCAATTACACGCGCTCTCTACCGAAGAAAATCTCTGGCAAAACATTTGCTCTTCCACGTGGCCTTCAGTTAATCACCCACGTGTCCAAGAATTCATCTCCACTTTCCCCTCCGGTCACCGTTCATTCTTCTCCGATTCTTTCCCTTTTCCCGATCCCCAGCCGTTAAAGCTCGATGTCAACTCTTTGACTCTACCAAAGGAACTAATCTCAGCCGTTGATATTTTCTATCAAAACAAAATTATTTATTCTAAAGTCGAAGAAATGGAAACGTCAAGCGGCTGGTTTTTGTGTTCACCATTCCGGGTGGATTTACTTGACCCGAAAGATTCTACTTCAACACCGATAAAGTATTTTGGTGGCAGTAAAGATGACACGTGGCTAAAGCATTTGGAGGAAAACTTGAGTTTAAGCTGGATAGTTATAGACCCGACCCGGAAGAAGGCGGTGAATATGTCGAGTAGAAGAGCTGTTTCGTTGCAACGGCACTGGTTGACGGGTGATGTGCAGGTGCGGTTCGGGACGGTGGTGATGTCTGGAGATGAACTGCGGGGATCGTCAAGAGAGTTGGTGGAGTGTGCGGTTGTGGTCATGTGCGGGGGAAAAGAAGGAGAGGATATGCACGTGAGGGAAGTGAGTATGGTGATGGACGACATGGAAGGGAAAGCGTTGAATGGGAAGGACAGTTTGTTGATTTTAGAAGGGGTAATGGAGAGAGGGAGAAGGAGAGGGAATGGAAATGAAGGGAAAGAGAAGTATGAGGAGTATGAAGGGAAGAAACGGGAGAGGAAAAAAAGGAAGCAAAGGAAAGAAAGGGCATTGGATTTGGTTTGCATTACAATTGGTGTTGCCGGTTTTGTCACATTATGCTCAGCTATGTTGTTCAAGTAACAACATAACAAAAAAAATAATGTTTCAAATTCCATTTTTTTATTGTTATATACTTTAAAGAAATATAATTTTTTTAATTGAAATTTAATTTAATTAATCTATAAAATTATCAGAGATACCTTTTTAATAAATTTGGATTTAATTTTAATATTTATAATTTTTTATTTTTAGACTATGATATTTTTATATTAAAAATCTAGTTTTTGATAGTCAGAAGTTTAATGTATGTAAAAATAAGAAAAAGAAGGAATCCATAAATTTAAATTGTAATTATTGAAGGTTGACTAATGGATTTGTTTCATTTTTTTTTTTTCTTTATGTTTTTGCTCGTGATTGGTAAAAGGAAAGAAGGGTTATATTTTGTAAGGTTTCGGAAGTCTCTCTGAATGGGCAGAATTGACAAGTCAGCCAATATTAGCCAAGCGAAAGGGCTCGATTATGCAGTTGGATGTCATTTATATCTGATACTAAAAAATATTAATGAAATGAAGTTTTTGAACTTGGAAATAGTTTATTTTTATGGAATTACATATATCAATAAAAATTATAAATTAGTAAACAAATCAAACGAGTAATTAATAAAACAACGTATAATTAGACAAAATCCGAAACTTGAACTTGAGTTTAGGATTTCTTCTTTATTACAAAGACGAGCTCAAATTGACGACGACCTTGTAAATATTGTTGTCTAATATAAGTTAATTTTTACAGCGATTTTCATCCAAAAAGAGACCACAGCTTAAATTTAACCCTTATGAATCTCAGCTTGAATCAAATTCTTGTATCTTAGAAATGCATGGCTTTGTGGAATATCAAATTTCCAAAGTTTATATCTTTTTCTTTTATTGGCAAACCCAAGTTGAATTTGTTGATATACCCGCAGCTTGATAATTAGTGAGATCAAACTCTATGTCTAATTTTAGCCGATTCCATTCCACTAGAAAAAATAATTTCTTTAACAAAAATGAAAATTTAGTTATCAACTCTAATCGGATCAGATAGATAGAATTATTACGAAGATAGATTGACAAATTATTTAAGCATGTAGTGAGTTGTCAAATTAAGAATAGTTCAACCTTGTGGAAATTGGCTATCTTGCTAATTGGGTCATTTTGCATTGCTAATGAATGCTAGGAGTCTATTGCTTTCTTTAAATTGAGTTACTTCAAGGAATAGAGATCTTATATTTTTATCCTCTTCAATAGATTTGCTATGAAAATCCCTCATATTGGCTGAAATCATTAAAAAGAAGTCACCCAAAATAAAACATCTAAAGTATTTGAAGGGATCTGACAGTGTCTATATTTGCAGTCGCATACGATAATGATCAATTTGGAAGGTTTATTTTAGTTAAGATTAAGTTCGAAGGATAAATGTGTGAACCCAACCATTCCATTTTTATGGGTTTGGGAAGAGGTGGGTACCTCTATCCCTTATTTTTTTAGTCCACAAATTTGGCAAGGAGAGTGATCAGAGGCCGGTCATGTCCTTATCTCTAATTTATGTGGGTTTCTCACATATTTTGGAATTCTTGACTAACAATATTATCTATAATCCATAATACCTATACTTGAAAAAGAAGGATTTTCAATTAATCTCAATTGGCTACCGGATAGCAGCCAATTAAGCCTTCATATTTTTTTGTTATTATTAAAATAGTCTGTGGAAATTGTTTAATTGGGTTGTCATTACTTAACAGATGTTGAGCAATTACAATCTCAACACAACTTTTTTTAATTGTTTATTTTATTATATTAAAAAGAAAAACAAATATTTTTAGAAAATAAAAAAAATTAAATTAAATTAAGTCTCGACTTTCTCTCAACTTGTAGGTGATAAAGACAAACTGCTACATCCTAAATCTTAATTTCCAAATGCGAAAATTGGTAAACATGTTGATATCACATTGACATAGTCTAGCTACCTCTTGAGAAAAGTATCATTAACAAACTTAAAGGGAAGCTTGGCCAAAAACAAATAAACAAATAAAACTTAAGAGGAAGCAGGGAGTCCATCCCCACCAACTTTAATCATCAGCAGAGAAGGTGAAGATGAAGATGAGGTCGCCAGACTCCCTGACCCACCCTTCAGGGAACATCTTCTCCTTGGACTGCTTGGCCACCCAGTCTGCCGCCCTATTCGCGATCCGCTTCACATGATTAAATTGCACTTCTTCAAATCCATCACACATGAATCTTACCTCGGAAATTATATATAAGCACTAATTTCCATTAATGTATTAGGTCCCTTTTCTCATCCAAAGCTGCTATCAAACCTTCTTAAAACCCTTCTTCCTTTATAGCCAGTGCAGCTCCCTCTTTAACTGCCAAAGTTTCTGCTACCACAACCTTCAAAGCTCGTATTTCTTTCCTGCATGCCCCAGTAATAAGTTTTCCTTGATGATCCGATCCCTTACCACCACTCGTATACCAGCTTTACTTTTCTGAGCGTCCACTGCACCATCACACTTTATTTTCACCCAGCCTCCGTCTGGAGCAGACCAAAGTTCATCAAATTTTCCATCAGTTCTAAATTTTCTCTTTGAACAAGTTACCATTTCAGCTTGAGCACTAGCATTCCCTGGCAGCAAACTTTATTCTAGCAACAGTTCCATGCACATTCAGCTGCTTATTACCAAGCCTGGACGATCACATATACTCTTCCTAATGTACCAACACGTGCAAGCAATCTTTATTTTTACATCCATAGAGACTTCAGTTTGGAAGGAGAACACAGAATTCAGCCATTAATTCTGTATTTTCTTCCATACTTTGTCATCTACGAAAAAAGATGATGATGGGTTAGGCTGCATACCAAATTTTTTGACCTTTTTTTATTAGTTTGACTCCTTCTCAATCCAATGAAGAAATTTATTTCATTTAATTATTTATGACCATTTTACATAGACTTTCACAATCAGAAAGATATATTTTCACCAAAAAGGTCCATTAATTCCATTTATAAAGGCAACAGTTTTTCAACATTTAGCTTTACTATTAAGTACTTCTTCCTTAACGTTTGTCTTTACCTTTATTATTTCTTCTAAAAAATATGAAATTAATAAACTATTCAAAGTTATCTAAAATTCTAAATTTCATTTCTATTTGACTGCTATAACCTTTAAGAATGAGTGAGTGTATATACATATACTCTTAATAATTAATTAATAAATTATCCAAGATATGTCTTTGTAACCAAAATTACGAGAAAAAAAAAACTTCCACGTAATTCTTTAAAAATAAAGACATACGAACATTTAGTCTAGTTCAGTAAGATTTAGTTAGTTGATACACGAATCATGATTCTTTATGTTCAAAGAGCATGATGCGAATGTCTTCCCAGATTAAAAATAAATATTTTTAATTTAACAATAAAAATAAAATCATTAATTTTAATTTTATAGTATTCTTTAGCACTGTTTATATTTTGAAAAGAAAAGTAACGAAACAAATTCGAGCCTGCAATTAGCATTTAGGTTTAGGACAAAGTTTGGCCATTTGCCCGTTTTGGGTCTTTTAAAGCTAGCACAAAATATTTTCCAAAGAGACCGATAAACGCCCCCACAGAAGCTTCCTCCTGTCAGGACCGACTCAGCAATCAAACCCCACGAGGCCAATGGCTTCCCCTCCTCCTTCCTCTTCCACTGCTAAAGGCGTCGGGCGAGACGGCGAAACAATCACCATCCTTCACCCAGATATAATCGGAGCTCACGTCCTCACACGACTTGACGGTCCCAACCTTGCCTCCACCGCCTGTGTTTCCTCTCATTTACGTTCCCTATCAACAGAACAAAATCTCTGGCGCGACATTTGTTGTACCACGTGGCCTTCTATCTTTCAACCACGTATGAAACAAGTCATCTCCACTTTCCCTTCCGGTTACCGCTCCTTCTTCTCCGACTCATTCCCGTTTCCCAATATCCGACCGTTAAAGTTCAACGTCACCTCTTTGGCTTTAGCAACGGAATTAATCTCAGCCGTTGATATTTACTATCAAGGAAACCCCATTTGTTCTAAAGTTGAAGAAATGGAAACGTCAAGCAGCTGGTTCTTGTCTTCACCCTTTCGGGTCGATTTGCTTGACCCGAACGACTCAGCTCCATCACCGATAAAACATGGTAGTTGTAACGATGACACATGGCAAAAACATTTGGAGGAAAACTTGAGTTTGAGCTGGATAGTTGTTGACCCGACCCGGAAAAAGCGGTTAATATGTCAAGCATGAGAGCTGTTTCTGTGCAACGGCACTGGTTGACAGGTAATGTGCAGGTGCGATTTGGGACGGTGATGGAGGGAGATGAACGGTGGGGATCGTCGAGAGAGTTGGTGGAGTGTGGGTTAGTGGTCACGTGCGGGGGAAACGAAGGAGAGGAGATGCACGTGAGGGAAGTAAGTATGGTGATGGAAGATATGGAAGGGAAAGGATTGAGTGGGGAGGAGGGTTTGGTAATTTTGCAAACAGCTATGGAGAGCGGGAGAAGTAAGAAGAGAGGGGAGGGAAATGGAAGGAAAGAGAAGTACGAGGAGTTTTTGGTAAGGAAAAAGGAGAGGAAAGAAAGGAATGAGAGAAAGGATAGGGCTTTGGACTTGATTTGTGTTATTTCAATTTTCGCCGGCTGTGGAGCTTTTGGGTCGCTAATTTTGTTCGTGTCCTAACTCCTACGATACGACGTAATTATCTTTACTGGAATTCAGTAGTACGGTGCAATGCAAAGAGACCTTTCTTCTTTTCTTTTTTTTTTTTTTTTACACAAAAGGCTAATTATAACCAAAAAAAAATTATAAATATTAAATTTAAACTTCAAACTTAGACACTTCTCATCTTAAATGTGAAAACATGATCAGATTTTAACTTTTTTTTTAATACTTGCAACATTTTTTTTATCATTATACTTAAATCTCCGTTATATAATAATAATAATAATAATAATAATAATAATAAATGTTTTGAAATTACTCCTTCTAACACATAAGTTATATTTTAAGGAGACAATTTTGCAAGTTCATCTAGCTAGTAATTTCCTTGAATGCTGCCGTTAAAAAGAAAAGAAGAAAAAAGGTATAGCACTTCAACGAG